GTGCATCTTCTTGCTCAGTTTTCAAGCCTTCCTCAACATCTTCTAGCTCCTGGAAACCATATGATATATTAAGCAGGTCCCAAATGATAACAGGAATCAAGAAAAAAAAGGTAACGACTAACATTTGCAGAAGAAATCGTCTCACTTCAGCTTTAAAATTCATAACTCACCTTCAACTTTCTAAGAAGAGAGTCTGCTTCATGTCTTTTCTCTTCTATTTTTGTCTCGCAGATTGATATTGCATTCTCATATGCGCTATTTTCTTCGAGCAACGTCTGCTCTCTCATTTGGGCCTAATTGCAATGGCAAAAGAAGAACCATGAGGATCGTCAATTTTCAAAATGGATCACTACAAAATCACCAAAAGACTTATCCAATTCTCGAATCGGCTTCACCATTTTCGAAATGAGAGGTACTTGATTACTCAAATCGATCCGGTGAGAACGGAGGGAACAAACCTGCTCACGAGTAGCGGAATGCGAATCGAGCTGAAGAGTGAGAGCGGCATTGGAGGCGAGTGAGTGGGCAAGAAGGTGAGGTAGACGCTGAGAGATATCCGGTGGAGGCAATCTGAGCCGCAGATCTTGGATCGAACGGCTGAGCGTTGTCGCTTTTCGGCCAAGCTCATCGACGTATTTCTGCTGCTCCTCCGTGAAAACTAGTGGGATCCGATCCTTCTCATCGCCTCCCTCTTTTCCATTTTTACCGACGACATCGGCGGCCCAGGCTAGAAGTCCGGCCATAATCTTCTCTCACTTCTTCTCCGTCTCTCTCTTTTGACACGGACAAGACTCTCACAGGGAGATCGCAGAGCTAAACCGAGGCGATTGGTGCTTAAACCGGGGTGGTTCGGTTGTTGGGTTGCTATCGTTGGTTCGTTTTGGACTAAATTGGGTTTTGAAAATAAGGGACCGCTCAAAATGGTCGTATGTATGGGCCTCAAAAGGCCTTCGTATCCGATAATTAACTATTAAATAATAAATATACGTGAACAAAAATCTTACGAAAATTTTAAATGAATTTTTAAAAGAATAAATATATGCCAATTCTCTACCAAATCTTATAAATGAATTTTTCTATAATTTGGTAATAAAATATTAAGAAATTTATTTTGAATTCTCTAACATGAATTCTCTCTTGTTTTTTTTGCTGTATGGATATTTTAAATAAAAAAATTTAGACTTATATTGTCAAATTAGAATGATTAATTTTCCTTATTTTGACTATATTTTGACAATCTTCTCTTCAGTATATCCAAAGCTTAATATAGACAAATTATAGGAGAAGCATATGCTCATAACCAATGGTGATTTTGATTTTATCAACGTTACTAAATATTTGCAAGTAAAAACCACATCCTCATTAATCCAATCATGTCTGATCATCTTAAGGTTAAGGTTAACTAGACTTCTCAACGTAAATATTGGTATAATTTATGAGATAACATGACTCAAAAAGTATTATTGTTGAACAGGAGTTGCACACAAAGTAAACAAATCATTGTTCATCAGTTATGGTTTTCTCTTTCTGTCTTTTTTTTAAATGTTTTCATTGATTTATGCCATTGGTGTTTGGATTAGCAATCGGCGCTGGAATTTGGACGAAAAGAATGTTGAAGTATTTCTAGATTTGGAGACCATGTGGTTCACAAGCGTAAAAGCTGCAGAGGATCTTGTAGAATACATCACAAACGAGCTGGGAAACAGTGGATATAGTCTGGGGTACTTGAATGCTTACGGGCTTTATAACAAGAATGAAGTAGCACCTTTCTGTTCAAGTGGTTCAGATATTGAAGCGATTAGGCAACACTTTCAAGTTTCACCAAACGCGAGATTGGAATCTTTTTATGGAAGAGAAATCCTATGTCAAGGGTGTAGAAATGCAAGAATAAGTCGTGGATATTGGAAAGCGAAGACAGATCTACTTCAGATGACAATGCTGTCAGACATATATAAACACGTGTCTAGGAGGAAAAATACCATTGCCAAGACGTTCATGATTTTGTCAAATCATGAATTCTTCACAGTTCAAGTTGCCAATGAGTGGAGAAGTAAAGGATTCAACGTTCTAGCCCCAATAACGGAGATTCCAGGTCTGCTTCCAAAAACTATGGTTTAACCTGTGCAGCGGTAAATGATGGAGATAGAGAAAATGATGCAAGAAAGTTAGAAGATTGTCATTTGCTCTTCATATTTGAGGAGCTTATTTTCGTTGGTTATGTGTTACATTTGTAGTTTCATTGATCCGATATTATCTCAGTCAGAGCAATCAAAAATCTATCTAGATTCAATTATAATTTACACCGTCAATCTTCCCCAAAATTGGTCAACTATATAGTTCCAATCTCGATTTACCTTACACATTTGTTCATCACAAAAACGAATTACTCTTTCATTATGTTTTTGTTTTTCAATGTTCTCTAGAGAATGGTTAATTGGAGTCTATAGACTATAATAAATTGTCATCAAGAACTCTAGTTTAACGATGGCTTTAATGATTAGAATGCACATTAACTGTTACACCCCCTTGAAATCAAAGCAATCTACATTATTGAATTTTGAGCAACTTCTTTTGCAAAATATAATCATCAAATGCATAAGATATGATGCCATCATGCCTTCTTGTTCTTTTCTGGCTATATATTTTTCGTCGCTTATTCAACCATTTCATACCATTATTAATTAACCATTTTTCATGATTAAAATACATATAGTTGAAACTTTAATTATATGCAATGTAATACAAGTGTAGCCTCTTTTTTCTTGCTAAGAACACTACAATAAGCAAACCTAGAAATGTAATTCAAAGTTCAAACGTTCCCACCTACGAGATTCACTCATTCAACGTTTCATCTACTACATAACATATCTCATTAGGTCGATATTCTAGAAGACTTATCAAATTGACGAGTTTTCTATTATTCACTATTTAAATATACAATTTAAATTTTGAAAAAATAGATAATATAATTATTATATACATTTTTAGATTGTTTTTGTATAGCCACCACTTAACCATTAATTTATAAACTTGTAATATTGATTTCTAAGCTAGTAAAATTAGCATAGCTTACATATATACTAATATAACATGGTTAGAGAATCCGTAGAAAGCAAATGTTAAAGTATTGTTAGCAAGATGTGAAGTGTGTTATGAAGAGATGAAGAATCTTGCATGCAACTTGGATTTGAGAGTGTATCGGTAAGGTACTAATGATTTATGGAAGTAAACATGTGAATTATACTAATATTAAGCATTCAAAAATGATGAATGTGTGATACGAGAACATCTATCTTATTTCAAAACTTTTTGTTTGATCACAAAACTTTTATTTGTTCCCTTCCCGCGTGAACGACTTCTGTTGGTTGCTCCTTTCAAACATATACTTGTTGGGTGTGGATATTCATCATTATAAATATTTAGGAATTTTTATGTTGATTGCATTTTTTCTTGTGCTGTTTGGATATTGGCTGGCCATTATAAACATATATAGGGTGTTGTTTAATTATTGATTTTTTGTCAATTCTATAAAATTTTATAATCTTCATGATTTAGAGTTTTAATGTTATTTTTCAAACTTCATGTGTGTGGAGTCTAAAATTTCTGTAGTTTCTTTTAGATTTTGTTTCTAATAATTTATTCATGAAACTCTATTCCAATTCATTTCAAATTACTTAATATATAAAGATTTTAAAAGTTATTTAATTTTTAATAACACTGAATTTTAATGTAGTATTTAAAATATTAACTTAATAATATCAAATTCTAAAATAATTTAAGTATGATTTATTAAAAAAAATCTAATAATATTGGATTCTAAAACATAATTTAAAATCATTAATTGAATAACATTGATTATAAATCAATATAAATTCTGTTAAATTCGATGATTAAATAACATTTCTTTAAGGACTTTTCGATATTGGTGGGCTTTTTCTAAAAACCTATTTGGAGCGTCCGTGAGTCAGTGTAATTCAAAACATTTGCTCTTCGATATTGAGCTTTGTCTATAAACATTTATAGAAAACACAAAGAAGGAGGCAAAGGTTACATGGTTTCTACAGATGCATGTGACGCTCTCATCGGGAGCTTGGTGAGTGAGCATAGGGTGGGTAGAATTGGCCTGGGGGGTTTTATCAGGACGTTTCTCGGAGCGGCATCCGTATTTATACTTACACACTCAACTATCATGGTTAATGCATTGTCCAAAGATGGTAAGATGAAATTCTTTCTTGTTTATTTTTTTTTTGCTTTATGGATATTTTTAATCAAAAAAAAAATCAAACTTTTATTGTCAAATAAGAAATGTGATAAATTTTCCTTATTTTAACTATATTTTGGTAATGTTATATGCATTGAAATATGAACACAGCATTTCTAAAGTAATTGAAAAATATAAAAATTAATATATACATGAATTATTATCCTTTTCATATTCATTACTCAATAGACTGCTAAAGAAACATAATATGCATTACCGCATGTTTGCAATTAGCCTTGCTTGCAATCAACCCTCTCCTTCCTCTCTAAGCAAAACATAAAATGACAAAACCCCAAGTATCTACCAAAACTATCAACAAAATTTGGAATTTTAAAAATAACAAATTGAAACCAAAACATTATAATATTCGATCATACATACGACTTTCATTAAGCAAACCTTTTTTCTTGGAAGATGCAAGTAACATTGCCAACAACTATTTATTGTAATCAAAACATATTCGTAACTAGTATTATTTGTTTCATTTTCGCATAATACTCTTGTCTAACTTTAGCATCTGCCAAGTCTCCCGCACGTTCCCAACACCTTGGCGGCTTTACAAGCGAACTTCTTTTATAAATTTAGAGAATGTCCCCTATATTTCTCTTTCTAACCAAACCAACCCCACGAGGGCCACGACCGTCTACTAATTAATTTAAAAATTAGACCCCTTGGGTTTTGTCCAATTCCCAAATCCGGCGTTTTCTTATCCCTTTCTCTCTCCTCTTGACTAAGCAAAATGTTGAAGAAAGTGAGGCGAAAAGTCAAAGTCTTGATCACCAAACCCTTTAAAAAGCCACAGAACAGGCCGCTAAGACCTCCATCACCACCAGAGCCACCACCTCCTCCACAATCTCCACCGCCTCAAGAAATGGCTTCCTCGAGACAAAAGAACTCTCCGTTTCTGTTCCCGAGATCCGATTCCTCTGTTTTACCCGACCCGTCTAGTTTCTTCAGCCACGATCTCCTCTCAACTCCTCTCCCTACAAACTCCTTCTTTCAAAACTTCACTCTCAAAAATGGCGATCAAGCTGAGTACTTTCACCCTTACATCATCAAACCATCGGCATCCTCTCTCTCCATCTCATACCCAACTCTTTCTCACAACTCTGCTTTCATCTACGAGGCTTTCAACGCCGACATCATCATCTCCGGGTCAGATGGACCCGACCCGCATTCCCGGAAAACTCATCTGATCACTTCCTTCAGCGATCTCGGCGTCACACTCGATTTCCCTTCCTCTAATCTCAGATTCTTCCTCGTCAGAGGAAGCCCGTTTGTCACTTGCTCCGTCGGTAACTCCTCGATCACAATCTCAACGATTCACGCCGTTTTATCGTTCAACGGAAACAGCTCATCTACCAAATTCACCGCGAAGCTCAACAACAACCAGACATGGCTGATTTACGCCTCTTCGCCGATTGATCTGGCCCAAAACGGAGGTTCTTCGATTAATTGCGCCGGTGGGTTTTCGGGTATCATCCGGATCGTCGTGTTACCGGATTCGAATTCAGATTTCGAACCAATCCTCGACCGATTCAGTTGCTGTTACCCAATTTCCGGCGACGCTGATTTCACAAAACCGTTCGCTTTGGAGTACAAATGGGAGAAAAGAGGCTACGGAGATCTCTTGATGCTCGCTCATCCTCTTCATCTGAAGCTTTTAGCAAGAGACGATTGTTCAGTCACCGTTCTAGATCATTTCCGGTACAGAAGCCTCGACGGAGATTTGGTAGGTGTCGTCGGAGATTCATGGGTTTTGAGACCGGCCCCTGTTTCCGTGACGTGGCACTCTATCAAAGGAGTCAAAGAGGATTCTCACGAAGAGATCATCTCAGCTCTCGTGAAAGACGTTAGCGCCTTGGATTCCTCAGCTCCGGTCACAAATTCCTCGTATTTCTACGCGAAACTGATCGCGAGAGCCGCGAGGCTAGCTCTAATCGCCGAGGAAGTTTCCTACCTCGATGTAATTCCGGCGATTAAAAAGTATCTGAAGAACATGATCGAGCCGTGGTTAGATGGGAGCTTCGAACCAAACGGGTTTCTGTATGACCCTAAATGGGGAGGTGTGATCACGAAGCAAGGATCGAGAGATTCAGGAGCAGACTTTGGGTTCGGGATTTACAACGATCACCATTACCATCTAGGTTACTTTCTCTACGCGATTGCTGTGCTCGCTAAGATCGATCCTTTGTGGGGGAAGAGATACAAACCTCAGGCGTACACTCTAATGGCGGATTTTATGACGCTGGGGAAGAAGAAAGGGGGAAATTCTATATACCCGCGTTTGAGATGCTTCGATCTTTTCAAGCTTCATTCTTGGGCTGGAGGTTTAACGGAGTTCGCCGACGGGAGGAATCAGGAAAGCACAAGCGAGGCCGTGAACGCTTATTACTCCGCTGCTTTATTGGGGTTAGCTTACGGCGACGCACATCTGGTGGCGGCGGCTTCGACGGTCTTGACGCTAGAGATTCACGCCGCGAAGATGTGGTGGCAGGTAAACGATAATCAATCTGGATAAATAGATTCGAACCGACTAAATAAAATTGAACCGCGCTGAATTGAGAAAGCTCGACCTGTAAATTGGGTTTTCTCTTGGTTTACGTTCGATTCTTTTGGTTTTAAACAATTGTTGGGTTATTCAATATAGAAACCAAATGAAAATGGAATGATTCAGCTCACTTTTGGTTTTGGTTCAGATTTAATTGGTTATCTTTGGTTCAGATTTAATTGGTTATCTTTGGTTCGATTCAGTATATAGTTTGTTAATGAAGTTTCGTTTGGAAATATCACCAAAATAAAAATAAAATAAAAATCATAACAAACCAGAATCGATTCTTGCTTAACTTTGATGATTACTAATTTTTCTTCTTGGTGGTGTGGCAGGTGAAAGAAGACGACACTATTTACCCGACAGATTTCACGGCGGAGAATCGTGTGGTTGGGGTTTTATGGTCAACGAAGAGAGACAGTGGATTATGGTTCGCGCCCAAAGAGTGGAAAGAGTGTCGCCTTGGGATACAGTTATTACCGTTGCTTCCGGTGTCGGAAATTCTGTTCTCGGATGTGAAATTCGTGAAGCAGCTCGTGAACTGGACTCTGCCGGCGTTGGCGAGAGACGGTGTCGGAGAAGGATGGAAAGGATTTGCGTATGCCTTGGAAAGTATTTACGACAAAGATGGAGCGATGGAAAAGATTAGAGGATTAAATGGGTTTGATGATGGGAACTCGCTGAGTAATCTATTGTGGTGGGTTCACAGTAGAAACTGTGATGAAGATGATGATGATATTGAAGACAATGAAGGCTGGTACGGTGGTCATGGTGGCGGCGGGAAGTATTGTTCGTTTGGTCATTATTGTCATTAAGCTTGAAAGTTGTTCGCCTTTTTGGCTTTGTTAATTCTATGTTTAATGTGTAACTGGATTTTATAAAATAAAACTTGGTTCACCTCATCATCACTGATCTTTCATAGTTTCGGTTTGTAACATTTTGTTTATTTAGACATGCAATCTAGTTGTAAAAGCTGCTAAAAAACCGGTTCTCGTTACATAGGTTTTGTGTAATAATAGATGCCGCAGTCAAAGGCAAGTATGATCACCGTATGAAAGTTCTTCACTAGTAGAGAAAGTTGTCTGTTTTATTATTTATTCTACTATATACATTATGGTGTGCTTACATCTGGAACAAATAACAACCAGAATCATAACTTTTTCTTCAAATTTGGGAAGAAAGTGGAGAATGTAGAGTTTTTGAAGATTCTTTAAGCTTTTGAAGATTGCAAAGACAGGTCAAACAATGGCCGCGCAAACAAAATCAGAAGATAAAAAAAAAGGTTCATTATTACACAAGGTTGAGTGACTAGAAGGAGGATTCTGAGATGCTTCTCTGGGAAAATTCAGTCAAGAAGAAGTGGACCCAGATTGTCCAGCCAACTAGACGGAACCGAAATAGAATGTGAAACAGATTCAAAATCCGAATAAACCCTAAAACCATGCTTTGCTTGCTGAAGGGGGTAAGGCCGCTTTTTAGGGTTTTTCTGATTTACTTTTTTTTCTTAGTATTTGGATGCAACCATCATACTTGCTCGACGTGAGTCAGAGATTCAAGGCTGCTCAAGTCATACGTTCTCTCACAAGCCCCGACAACTACGTGATTGTTTCGGATAACGACCAAACTGTCCTTGACTATGTCTCGGATGCCATTTACTGTTTGTATGGGGAGCCAGAAGCAAAGCTAGATCAGGAATCGCAATCTACTTGGATGGGTTTGACCGCATAGAAAAGCAGCGCATCAGGGTCGAATCTTCCATCTTTGACGCTCGTATGACTGACCCATATGAGCTACACAAGGTGCACTGGGCAAGACTCAGATCAGATATCTAGACATGACTTCAGCTGGTGAGCGCTTCAAGCTGCAATTGACAGGAGCGGAATTAAAACACGGGAAGATTTTTCTAGTGCTGGGAGAGAACGGTACAGGGATGACCACCTTCATCCGATTGCTGGTAGAGTATATCAATATAATATGCCTTTTTTCATTGTTGGTTTATATACATACTCTCCTTAGATTCTTAACCAAAGATTTCTCTGTAGGCCGATTTGCGTCCACCTGGCAAGGTAAAAGGTGTAGAACGGTGGTCGCCTTCGTAGACGGTGTCATACAAACCGCAACTAACAAGCTGAGCCGATCCCGTCGGAATGTGATATTCTCTTTTCCACTCTTATCGTTGCCTTAAAAAAGAGCTACTTGCCTTTACTTGTTCTGCTATGCTCTGCTTATGCATGGCTTTCTTCAAGGTTTGATTATTGTTTTTTTCTTTGCTGATAAATAAAATACATACAAAGGATTTCTTGTTTATGTGTTCATACAAAGTACTTCTTCTTTAGGGTTCTCAATTTCCGTTATGTTTTGGATTCATCTAATATTTGCGTTCACACGGTAGAAGCTAAAGTTATAAAACAGGAATGATTTCTGGAAATTGTTATTTAAGACAAGAAGAGAGGTAATAAGGTTTATGTTGCTTGATTCTGGAAAACAATCTGTGAATTTGGAAAGAAAGCTGAGGTTTATTGTCTCTGAACTGCAGAAGAAGCTGCGTGTGCTGGTGAAGCCGCTGGAGAAGCCGAAGGTGGTACTAAAGTTTGTGTGGATGCAAAAGGACATAGGAGTTGCGTTAGACCAAACGGTTCCAGGATTTGGAACAATCCCGCTTGGTCCGTACTACTTCTGGCCTAGGAAAGATGCTTGGGAAGAGCTCAAAGCTTTGTTAGAGAGCAAGCCCTGGATCTCCGAGCTTCATCGCGTCTTCCTCCTTAACCAAGCCACAGACATAATCAATCTATGGCAATCAAGCGGTGGAGATTTGTCTTGACTGAGTCTTGCTTTCAAAGTGTAAAGCTTTGTGTGTTTTATCAGTCCTTTCGATGCCAAAATTATGTTCTAAATGGATCATCAAAAACTTTGCAACAGTTCTATGTTTTAACTACTTGACGTTATCATTGCAGGAATGTAGAAAAAGAGTAAGTAGTCTATAACTTAGAAACCAGTTTATGGAATCAGAACAAAGATGATAACAAAAGGCATCATGGAAAATGTTTAGTCGAAGTACTTGGACATCTGAATCCCTTTATTGGTCAACCCACATTTCTCGTAGAACACTTTCTTCTCCACACCACAGTCGAGGATCACCTTGTAGCAACCCATAGATCGGCTATGATCCGAGAGAAACTCCACCACTTTCTTCCCGAGATGCTTCCCGCGGAACTCTGAATCCACCACAACGTCCTCGATGTGCCCGACTTTCCCGCAATTCCTCAGGAACTTCTTCTCTATCATCACGCTCCCCGTCGCCGCGATTTTCCCCGTCCACTCATCTTCGATCACGCAGATCACGTGGTCGTCTCCGTACGAGCTGATTTCCTCGAACCGCCGATCGAAGTCCTCGTCGGTCACTGATCCCGTGACGGTGAGTTGTCCTAGAAGCTCCATGTATCCCTTTCTCTTGTCGGAGATCTCCAGCCTTCGGATCTTGAACGTATGTTTCTCTCCGCCGACATCGGAATTAGAAGCGTCCGCCATAGCAGATGCAAGATGAACTCTGAGTTTTGATCAGATTTACCACTTCACTGCCACCAATAAAGTACAAAGAAAGTAATAATTCCATAAAAGTCCTCCAGCTTTCATATAGTTATAAAAGTTGCTTAATCTCTTAATAAAACATAACTAGTCCATTCAAATTGACGTTTGATGTGATAATAACTAGTCCAATTAAAGTGTTATTATTCAACTAAACAACAGATAGATCTGGCTACGTTTTCCAACAAATCAAGATATCTCAGTCATCAAACATTATCAGATTATTTCAATAGATCGATGTTACAACGAATAATTGCTAATACTAAGTTGCAATGGATCAAAACGAAAGGTATCGCTAGAGACTTACATGTATAAGAAATATTGATCACGATCCAGAGTTTTTAATCTCTTCTACCAGAAACCCTTTTGTCCAAGATCTTAAACGAGAGAAACCTGAAACCAAAAACAAAACGCCGAATTTAATCAATCGATCAAAAACAAGATAAATCTCAAGACTAAACGAGAAGATCTACAACGATAATCGGAGATGAAAACAAAAGAAACAGATCTGTAAAGCTACGAGACCAACCTGATTAAGGTGATTCAGAAAACTCTAAAGCCTAAATTTGAGAGCTCGCTTATCGCTTATGATTTTAATAGTCAAACAAGAAATCAAAGGAGTTTGCGATCTCTAATTTCTGGGTATTACTTTTACCCAACGAAATTGATAATTTTGAAGAACAATGGAGCTATGGATTGAAGATGACTTGAAAGGAAGGGACACAGAAAAGAGAAAGGAGACGTTGGAGATCACATCGATAACTCATACGCGTATTAAGAAGAAGACGTTCGAGATGTTACCAAAGCTTCAGAATTTTATCCAATGAAAAGTTTCACCGAGAAAATGAGAACCAAAAAATGACTAGCACATTTAAACCGGTTTGGCTCAATATAGTTAAACCGGTTCGTTAAAATTGCATAAATATTTTAAATACAAGTTCTTCTTCCAAAAACCCAAAATTAAAAAAACTGAGTGATGATGATGATGTTTTGGTGAAGTCAAGAACATTGACTTTGCTTCGGTTCATCTTCATGATATTTCCCCAACTATCACCCCAAACCCCAAACTTGTGAAGGCTGCTCGATCCAAGGACCATTCATGATGTTCAGAATGCCTCTGAGACAATAGCCTCTCATTGTCCTCCTTGTGATTCTTCTTCCGGTTTATGTTGTGACGCAGCTCTGTAACCTGAGACTTCAACTCTTCAAGTTTTGGCTAAAGGTTGTTCATATACACCACCAGAGAATTTTTGTTTTTATTAAAAAAGGAAGTGGGTTTGTGTATAATTTACATGATAATCATAAATCAGACTCATTTGCTGAAACTGAGCTTGGAAAGAACAGCAGCCGCTTGGTCACCACCCAACAAAAAATAAGGGTGCCTGAGAGCAGCAGCCGCTGAAAGGCGTCCGCGTCTCAGAGAGCCTCTCTCCGATACGAGTTTGGTGACGAGGTCCCACCCTCTGCCCGAGTCCAGGTCAAGTATGCTCAAGTCAGGCCTGGTCCGAGTCCTGTCCCGCCATCGATTCAGGTCATATCCCACTGACTTGATCTCGGAGTTGAAGTTCTTGAGACCCGCGGAAGATCTCAAGCTCGGAACCGCCATCTGCAGGAGCACTATCCCAGCAGAATACATATCGAGGAGAATTGCCATGTTCCTGATTCACTGTCATCTGTTCTTTTCCTTTCCATTTAATCAAAGCTGAAAAAGGAAAAAACATTGGTTTAGTCACAAAACTCAAAAATCTCCGCATTTACAACATTGTGTGGTCAAGCAGCCAATGCTGCAATCATAAACACAGATCAATTAGACCTAAAAGCTATGCTCAAATTTCAGATCATAATCATTTAAGCTCTTGGAGCTTTGATCTCAATACGACTTAAAAGGGTATTTACAGAAAAAGGCAACCAGCAATTATAATTTTAGGGCTTCGTTGGTACAATTCGATCTATGGTGATGATATATATATAGTAATAGTACAATGCTGAAGAAGAATTAATATATATATACTCATGGTTATCAGTTCTTGCTACTAGAAGAAGACAGCGACGATCCAGAAAAAAAGGAAAGAAAAGAGAAACAAAAACGAAACCCACCAACATTCCGATTGCTTTGTTTTAGTCATTTCAATGTTCTTCAGATTGCTTTGTTTTAATACCCTTCCCCTCAGGATTGTATCGGAGTTGTAGATGGCTTGCTAACCATCCTGCAAAAAGGCCAGTCCCGGTTTCAGAACAAGAAAGAGACCACAACGTGATTTTTTAGTTTGACAATAAGGAGGATGATAGAGATCACGTTGTTATTCTCTTCCAAGACATGGTGGAAGTTGTAACAAGAGACGTTTTGATTTGCAGTTTATATTTGGATGGAAAGGCTCTGTAAAAGATTCACACATCTTAAGAGCAGTCCTTGATGATCCAATCCAGAATGACATTTCAGTTGAATAATGAAATCCCGTTTCTACGGTCACATGAGATGCAATGCCCCACGATAGAAAACAATGACCGTAGGAATATTCAATCAAGGATTGTCTTGAATATTCCTACGTGTGAGTATTGTATGTGTTAGACAAAATTAATGTAATGTAATAATGCTAAATTGAATATTCCTACGTGTGAGTATTGTATGTTAGCAATTGTCTATTTGATATTCGAAAATTTGTGAAAGATTTCACGGAGCGACCAGAATCGGAGAACTCGTCCTCGTGTCTCAAAAAGAATATAAATCAGTTCGATGCTAAAACTATAATAATGTATTATAGTATGTAGATTTGATTAAAGATGGTCCAACAAAGCATGCTGTTAGCAAATCGATGGTTAAAAGGGATCTTTTTGGGTAAAATAAAAATCTCAGACTTATTTAGAAACCCTAAGCAACTAAAATTATTCAGTTAAATCAAGAAAATTAAGTTTTTAATTATAAAAATTAATAATTACCTCAGAACTTATATACGAACCCCGCTTTATTTGAATAACACATATGTGGTATATCAACTATATAAGCAGCAAAGAAGCAAGACTACAAGAGTAGTCTCGAAGTAAATTTATTCGCATTTTAAATTTCGTAAAAACAAAAAGGTCTCCGGTTCTATCATAACAGTTTTGTAGACAATGTTTTTTTTTTCTTTTTTGGTTTTAAAACAATTCTTGACAATGTTTTTGATTTCTCTTTTATTTAGTTTCTCAAAAAAACACTTATTTAATTTTATAATTTACAAACCTTGCAGATACCAAGGAGAAGTATCTTTTTGTCGGAAAACCCTAGCTAGCCTCTTGTTTTCAGAAAATAATCCTTATATATAAACTAATTATGTATCGAACATCGACGTCAAATGTTGAAGAACTGAAAAATATCTTACAAAAGTAGCGTAAAGTACTAAGTACAACAGCCAACGAGATAATATGAAGAAGACAATTGTGAAGTTGCCGACCCTCGTTTTAGGGTTTCTCTTCCTCATTTATCTTCTTCATGGGCTTCGAGGTTAGTATAATTGTATCTAGTCGTTTTATGTGGCGATATTGATGCTGACGATGTATATTGAATACGTGTTTTTTTTTGTTTTGTAACAATCCTTGAATTAGTAGAATACATGTGTTTGATGTTTCTACGATCTCTTGATATATAAACATATGATACATGCATAACTATAGCCTGTTATATTGTGCACAAGATACATATACAGCCAACGGAACGATATTTATAAGTACGTAAGTTTTGCATTTCATATCCATAAATTCTCTTTTTTTTTTCTCTCTTTTTTTTACATTTTTAATAAACTAGAATCTCTATTTTAAAACAAATTAGTCGTGACATTTAAATACATGTATAGGTGGATCTCTTAATGAAGATCTGTTGATGGGAAGGAAGGTAATTATTAACAAAGTTTGATTTAAATTAAATTGGGTTTTGTATTTAGAAGCAAAAAAAACATGTCGTTCAATCCAGATTTTCTATTGAGTTTTGTTTCAATCTCGGTTAAAATCAAATATATATCTTAGTACTTTCTAGTTTTAATATTGTTAAATGCTTTTTTCCGTTTCAGTAATCAAAAATCTTCAATAAATAAAGGAACAAATTTAAACTAGATAGTAATAAACATTTTGAATTTTGGATCAACATTCGTTTTTTTAGTTTTGGATCGAACGATCAAGTGGGTTAGTTAAATAGGATTAAATCTTCAAACTAACATGTTTTCTCGTTTTGGCAGCTAAAGTCGATTGAATACAAATACGTAGCGACTCGAACGTTGAAAGATTCAATATCGAGAGATATAGAAAAGGAGGTTGATCATCTGATGAGAAACGAATATCCCTCACCAGTGAAACCGAAGAAGAGAACTCCGGTTCACAATGGCGTGCCTAATGCTCACTGATTAACTTTAATTTTCACTTTACTAAGTTTCTTAAAATGGATATGTATCACTATAATAGTATAATGTAAGTCTGCATATTAGTGTATTACTTATAAAGGGTTTATTTACTTGTTTAGTGTTCTCATTGTCTTGTACCATAGTTTCAGAAATACTTAAAATTTTCAAAACTAGTAGGTACTCTACTTATAATTTGAAATAAACTTTCTTTGATCTACTACTTTCATGCAGTTTTTTTTTTGGTTATAATAGACCGAAAATATAAGAGTATTTTGTCATAGCAGTAGCGTTACTCTGAAGTACGTTCCGCACGACACGAGAATTTGTTTGTTAAGACAAATTGCATATTACATATAGTTATATATCTCTCTAATTTTATTAGGAATGTTCAGAAGCAAGCCAAGCTCTGGGATTTGGTCAAGTCCTCAATTACGAACTTTTGACTAAGCAATATCAATTATGCCTTCATGGCTCCATGTCATGCTTCAAAAGTTCAAATCATTCACCTCATTCCATAACATTTTCTTTTATTAAGCAAAAAGTAATATAATAGTTAAATGTTATACTGAGTAATTGAGTATGTCCTCCCAAGATCTCATTGTATCGAAAATGTTAGTTTTTAGTTTAACAACGTACGGTGCATGAAGCAAGAGCTTAATTAGCATATCACACATGTGAATCAAACAGCTAACAAATACAAGAGCTTAAAGGATAAAATGTGATTGCAGTTAAATAATTAGCATATGTACGATTTTACAGGGAAAAGTTAGTATATGTACATGGTTATATTCTTATTCATAGCATCAGGATATATTTAAAATTTGATATATGCTTATAAATAGTGATGATTTTATTATATATACAGAATAGTATGTGACGAACTAGTTCTCTATATAATAATATACAGTATGGTGTTGTTTATTAGCAAAAAGATTGGTTAGGAGTGTGTAAAAAACTTCAATTTTCTAATACACTATGTAAAGCCTACATGATTACAATTTTTTATTTTCAAAATAAAAATGTTTTAAAAAACGCGTTTTAAGCCAACAAATATTCTCTTTTAAAAAAGGAAAAAGAATAACAAACGATTAAATGCTGCAGTTTGCTCTCTCTGTTCCCTTCATCAGCTTACTTTATGGACGAGGTCCTAATGTAGATTTTGACTTTGTTTAAAAGCGGAAGAAGAAGAAGAAGAAGAGAACACTCATTCATATCTTGCACAGATCAAAACCCTATACCGTTGCTTTTGCTTTCTCCTGGATAGGTAAGTGTTGAGTGTTCTATGGCTTTCTGATAGGATTTTCGATTTTGCGATTCTTTCAAGGTAAAAAAGGCTTCTGGGTTGCTTTTTCTTTTTCTTATGTCGAGATTTTTGATCGAACCCATTGTGATTTTGATGTTGATTAGCTGGGAGGGAAAAAACATAAATTTCCTTCATAAAATTCGAGTTCAGTAGTGTTAGAGAACAATTTGTGATCTTGGGGGGTTTGAATCTGTGAAACTGAGACAATCTCCGAATTCCCTGCGACTAAAATTGCGTGTTGACTCTAGGGTTTCGTTTGGCAAATGAAAAAGTGGGATCTCTGGTTATCTATCCAATTTTGGTATATCACGGAGACAATTTGAAGAAAAATTGAATCTTTCGTGCTCATTCCCACTTTTGGAAGTAGAAAGCAAACAATTAGTTTCTGTATCTCACTGGGAAGATTTAGTTATTGAGTTAATTGATCCCAAATCCAGTGATTGTCGTTTGATATGTGAAGAAGATTTTGTTCAAGTTCTTTGGCTAGTTTACCAAACATAGAGTTCATCATATACAATGTCTAGATGATTATCTTGATAGAGTTTTGTTTTCATGCTTGAATGTCTAGTAATAATGTTCATGCTTCTTGATGCAAAACCATTGCTTGTAAACTTTTTGCAGGAAAAAGGAAAAATCCTTCTTTGGACTCAATTTCCTTTAGGTTTGCAAAATGATCTCAAAATGGTGAATAGGAGTGATTTGGTAGTGATTGGCATTTCGGTTGGGCTTGCACTTGGCCTCTTGCTCGCTCTGCTCTTGTTCTTCGCCATAAAATGGTACCATGACCGCTCTCACCTAAGGCGATGCGCTAATGAACAGAATATCCCGACTCTACCCATTCACACTGCTAAAAGAGGCGTAGTAATCCCTGATGATAGCGCAAGCACAGCACCTGAGAATGCAGCACCAACTCAACATCAGCCATGGTGGAACAACCATAACAAAGATCTCACTGTATCTGCATCCGGGATACCCAAATATCACTACAAGTGAGTGTTCTGTCCAAAGCTTGGCTTTGCATGAATCTGTTATTTGGGTCGTTTGTAGTAGCTTATGGTCTAAAGTTCTTTAGGGATATTCAGAAGGCGACACAAAATTTCACAACCATTCTTGGACAAGGGTCTTTTGGTCCTGTGTACAAAGCGCTTATGCCCAATGGAGGTTTAGCTGCAGCAAAGGTTCATGCCTCTAATTCGAGTCAAGGGGATAGAGAGTTTCAAACCGAGGTAAGTGTACCGATCCGCTCAATGACCTCATTGACCTGGTCCATGCATAATAGAGATAACAGAGAAGTGTGTTGGGTTTTTTTGATTTCAGGTATCTTTACTTGGGAGGCTACATCACCGGAATCTTGTGAACTTGATAGGTTACTGTGTCGATAAAAGTCACCGGATGTTGATCTATGAGTTCATGAGTAATGGAAGTTTGGAGAATCGTTTGTATGGCGGTGAGTCATCTTTTAATGGAACTTGATAGGCTACTGTATAAGTCGCAGCAGGAGATTGATTACGCTAGTGTTTTATAAGATCTTCTACTTTGCTTTTCAGGTGAAGAAATGCAAGTCTTGAATTGGGAAGAGCGGCTTCAAATTGCTCTTGACATCTCCCACGGCATTGAATACCTTCACGAAGGAGCCGTGCCACCGGTTATTCACCGTGATCTTAAGTCAGCCAACATATTGTTAGATTACTCCATGAGAGCTAAGGTAAGAGAGCAAATGCTGAATATGCTTACTCAATTCTGTTTGGTTAAATCTTTAAAAGTTTGGTTTTTTTCTTTCTTTTGGTAGGTAGCTGATTTCGGGCTGTCGAAAGAGATGATTTTTGATAGAATGACTTCTGGATTGAAAGGCACTCACGGATACATGGATCCAACGTACATTTCGACTAACAAATACACGATGAAGAGCGACATTTACAGTTTCGGTGTCATCATCCTTGAGCTCATTACTGCAATCCACCCCCAACAGAATCTGATGGAATACATCAACCTGGTAAGTTAAAAATTAAATTGAATCAGCCCAAAACATAGTGTTCTGCAACAAAATTTATGTTCTGGTTTAGTATAGAACTCTCCAACCTCATTAAACCAAAAAAACCGGAGACTAAAACCGCTAAATTGAACCAAAATTCAGTGACTCTGTGATCATTGATTCTGTTTTCCTGATGATCAGGCTTCGATGAGTCCAGATGGTATCGACGAGATAGTCGATCAGAAGCTAGAGGGCAATGCAAGCATTGAAGAAGTGAGGTTAATGGCAAAGATTGCAAACAGGTGTGTGCATAAGACACCAAGAAAAAGACCATCCATTGGAGAAGTCACACAGTTCATACTAAAGATCAAGCAAGGTCGGTCTGGAGGAAGAAGACAGGACACAATGTCTTCATCGTTTGATGTTATTGATGGAGAAGATATATCAAGGGTTATAAGCAGGATTAAGGATCAGCATGTTGAGTTAGGGTTATTGGCTGGTGTTAAAGAAGATGATCATCAAGAGAGGAACAATACAACAACATTGTAACTCTTTAGTCTTTAGAAGGAAGTCTTTGTGTACATATTATTGCCATATGAGTCTCAAAATTAAGATTTCTACCTCTTCTACAAAATGAAAAAGAGTTTTTGCTTGCTAAAAAAAACAAATATTTTTTTAGATTTTTATAGTCAATGTTTCAAAAAAATTAACTAAATATATAGATTTTGTTCTTCATTCTTCTTGATTTCGTTTTTTATTTGGTATAATGTACTGTCCGAAGAACCATTACCAAAGATATCTCATCATCATACGTAAACGGTAAACATGTGGTAGCTGAATAATGAATAATTCAACTTTTTTTTGTTAAACGAATTAATGTAGATATGTAATTTTGAGTTATCATTACGATTTTCACGTGACAAAATAATTGATCAGAACTCCTATATGTCTTCTTTCTTTTTTTGTCAGAAAAGTACCACTCGTTTACGTATAATTTCTACTGGACATTTGGACTCATCCTATTTTATTAGCTTTCTCATCATGTTTTTTTTAGGCTGTATCGTAAAAATTATTGTAGAGACAAACACGTTTTGGTCAAAAATATCATCATTTGGAAGATTTGATTAAAAGCCCCTAGTGCTTCACACGAAGAACTAACCAACAAATCAATCAGAAGAAATGACCAACTAAAATTAAAATCACATTAGAATTTTTTTTTAAAAATAAATGATCAACTATAGCCACGGCCACCTACTCTTTGAACCCATTCATTAGTAATGATCAACTTTTGTGTACTTGTTGTGCTGCGAAAGTTATGTGTCTCAGTGGATCCAACAATATTAATTCCAATTTATTAAGCAATTAAAGGGACTGTTGACAAAGAAAAAAAACGAAGCGCGGGAGAGACATATCGAAACAGCTAAAACATTATTTATAACTTTTATTAATGGTTTTTTTAAAGGTGAGAATATATATATATATATATATACAGATGAGATGAGAGGAAAAAAAAGATCTTGTTAATAATGAGTTCTGTATCGATAAGATCAACGAAATTTGATGAATGATAGATTAGTTGTAATTTCTTGGATCACCCGTTGATAGTATAGTATAAAATAAAGCTACAAAAATATTTCTTGGATCACTCGATTACACTTGAAAACGGTATGTACTATTCATCTCTTCAAATGATGTGTATTTTCTGGCGATATAAATTGCATTTTTAATGGTTTTCAAACTAACATAATGGCTTAGTGAGTCAGGGCCAGTCTCCATTTCTCTTAACATGATAGCAAAAATTGAAAGTGATTTGGTTGTAACACAAAAATAAGCAAAAAGGTGATTTGGTTGGCTTTGAACCCAAAGTACTTTTCAACACATAAAATAGGTGAAAATTAGTGTTTCTTGTAATGGAGCGGATTCCACTTTTAGGTGTTTTAGGTAGTGGAGCATATTGAATTAGTAGGTAAAATTAGTGTTCTCGTACAGTTGTACTTACCAATATGATAGTCACATATTTCATAACCTAAATCATGAATTAATTGTTGACAAAAAAAAAAGACAATCTTGAGTTGTAATTTATATGTTGACTACCAAAAATTTTAAATTTTTAAATGGATCATATATACTTTATGATTTTTAAATGGATCATATATCTTCTTTAAAAACAAAATGTTAGACACCTAATTGCTTAAAAGCCTTTTATAACAACGTAACTTGTACTACAATCTGAAGACTGTCTACTTGCTATCAATAGAAAATATTAATGTTGAAAATTTGGGATTATTTTTATAAAGAGAGAAATTGATAATCATGTGAAATATATATGTATCCAAAGCTTTAATTACATAAATGTCACTTTTTTTTTTATTTAGCTAACAAAACTGGCAAGGCCATGGATGCCAAACTTTACAATGTAAGCTTCAATCAACATTTTTGTTCTCTCTCCCATCCATGAAAGCTTTTTCAGAAATCTATTCACCAAGAACCCTATATATCTTCAATCTGTAAAACTCACTGTAACTTCATCTTTCAGACTGTAAATCCAAAATCTCAGCCAACTTGTTCAAATGACTCTCAATGGTACATCTAACAGCTGCAGACACTCTTGAGGGTTGGTGTAGAAGTAGTCTTCTTCCTTCGGTTTATTGGGAATCACTAACCGTCTCTTCGGGCTTCCCATTCGAGTAGAGTGAAACGCCTTCACCATTGATGAGAACACATCCCAAGTCAACAAGCCTTCCGTATACTCATCTATCAGCTTCACTAGGAACTTCCTATTCAGCTGAATTGTCTTCTTGAACCCCAAGAATCTGGAGAATAAGAAAGATGTTGTTAGCCTCTGGTTGATAAATATGGGAAGAAAGAAGAAGAACCATAACGATACTTCACCTGCGATGACCTTCAACGACTCTTGCCATGTTCCCATCATTGGTTGGAACAAATATATCGCTCTCAAGAGCCACTAGGTAATCAAGTGCAGCCATTTGTGATGAATGGTTCCGACAAAAATCCAGATCAGAGGACTCGAGTAGGGTTTCTTTCCGAACCTGAGTTAGTTAAGATAATAGAGTCAATGGAAGATATATATATAAGCTCCAAAAAAATTGCTGAAAATGGAATTGACTACTTACCACATTTGGAAAAGCGTCTGTTAAAGCCTTCATCCGCCTTTGACCACCGTAGATTTCTCCAGCAGCTATGTAAATTTGAACATTACGGTCAATACCCAAAGCGGTCAGCGTGAGAGCGGTTTCCTCAGGAGTTAAAGGGCAAAGGCCTTCTTTCCTCTTCACCTCAGAGTTTATCACTTTCTCTTTCCACCATGGATACGCATATCTACCAACAAATATCATTTACATCAATAGATCCATCGAAGTTGGAAGAGAAAGTAAGAAGATTTTCGGTTGTTTTTGTACCTCATTCTTGTTAGTTCTTCTTCTTCCTCGGGATTGCAACCATGTGAGCAACCGGAAAATGCTAACATATCCATCTCGTATCTGAGATGCAGGACGAGAAAGGGACCTTTCTCCCTCAGTATATTGACAACTCGCCTACCTAATTCTTCAATTTGAGGAGTAAACTTAAGCCCGTTGAAATTCACACGGCACCTCAGCTTCTGAACCTCCAAAGGCAGTCCGTTATTAGCAAGTCGTGAATCCGTTTTGTTCAGATGTAATACCTTATGCTTCTTCACCAATGGAAGAATCTGTTCCGTTTAGAAGAAGAGATTACAGAAAGACTTAGGTACAAGAAGCAAAAGTGTAGACTAATCTCGAAAAAGAAAAATATCACAACTTAGAATAATATGAACCTGATTTTGGTAGTAAGACAAGTTTGACCAACTAATAGGAGGCATTGCGTGGTACATTCCAAGCTCAACTCTTTTCTTAAGCCTCGGAGGCAACTCTTTAAGTATACGAACTTCATCTCTTAACGAACTTATGAAGTGATCCACATCGAATATGTCTTTAAACTCACTGCCCCCAAAGAAGAAAACAATGTAAGAGAACCGGACCAAAAAATTAACAGAGTTCACAAAGAAGCTTCAGGTGAGAGAGAGTTCATGACATCCATACCTTGGATCGTTCCAGAAAGAGGTCTTATCAAGCTCAGGCACAATCAGTGTGACATTCATGTATCTTGCAACAGTTACCATATCGCATATCTGTAGAAAGCAGACCAAAAAAACAAAGTAAGCTAATCATATCATATCACTAGAAGATGAAAACTGCTCTCCAAAGAGAAGTTAGCTCTCATCTTACCGCTGCTCGCATTTGATTGAGTCCTCCATTGCAAGAAACCATAAGATAACCATTGTTCTGATAAACTCCTGAGAAGAAAAACAAAAGATTAGTTTTCAAACTCACCATAATAAAAAGAATTGATCTTTGGGGTACGAAGAGCTTACTTTTAGGGGGAAGGGCGACTTTAGTGGGAAGAGACTTCATATCTGCGGCAGAGGACAAATCATTGTGATTGAAACAAGAAGGCCAGTTTTTGAACAACCTTGGTCCCCACATCTCTCCCAAAGCCATCAGATGAACGAAACAACTCCAAAGCAACAAAACGGTAACACCACGAATCATCCATAGGCTCATACGAGACCTCGAAACAAATGAGTTCCTGAGTTTCTCAACTTTGCTGTCTCCTAAAAGCCTAACCTTCATCTCCCAGAGTTTCCTGTGGTTAAGAAACTTCTCCACTTTACACATTTTCTAATTATGTACCCTTCTCTCTCTCTCTCTCTCTCTCAGGGGAATTTTATCAAACACTTAACTGGGGAAGCCTGGGAAAACACTAACCACAGCTTCCTCAGCTTAAAAGGAAACGAAACAAACAAAAAACAATATAATAGTTTGGATTTGGGATATATCTGCTGAAGTTTAATTATCTTAATAACACCCAGAGAAGTGTAATTTCCACACAATAGTACAAATGAAACTCTGTGAGCATTAATCACACCTCGAAAAACCCAGATTTTTTTTGGATTAAGTAGACACGATCGTCGCCTTAATCTGACGGAAACCCAGATCTAGCTCAATTTAATATATAAAAAAAAGAAAGAAAACTTATAAGAAGAATCTCGGGTTTAATTAAGTGGTGAGAGCAATGACAAGTTTCAACTCTCAGCAACCCAGAACAAAGATCTCAGTGAAAAGCTTGAAGCCAACGCTTCAAGTTACAGATTTAATGAGAGAAGTCTTCGAAATTCAGCAATGGGGATTGATCCTTTTAATCTTCTCTCAAAGTAGCCGCAGAAAAAAGATAAAGATGGAAAAGGGGAAATAGTTTAATTCGTGGGAAATGTTTTGCTTATTTGGTCGACGGAGATTCTCCGTTAAGGTTCACCGGAGAGAACACGTCGGAGGAGATATAAAGAGAAGATCAGAGTGGAAAAAAAAAGGAGACAAGAACGTGAAAATCAGCACATTTTCTACCAAGGAAGGAAAAATAAACGGTCTTTAGGTTTTCTCTTTTTTGTCGGCAAAAACTGTGATTTATAGTGTTTTTCAATAACGAAATAGTGAGAAGTATTTTCTGTAATATATTGTTTGGGGTTTTTTTAATTAAATAACGTCAAAGTAAATTATATTATCTTTTTATTATGCACGCACTGATATGAATTCTGTGGATAAATAAATAAAACAGAGAAAAACAATGAATCTGAATTTTGGTTGACCAAATACATTCAATCTATTTTTGTAGTTTTCTTATCTAATGGGGTAATGTAATTTATTGGAAGTTAAATAACTAGTTTTCAGTTATATCTAAACCACATTAGCATCTCTTGCCTCCAAACTAATCCACAAAGTTAACTGGCAAAACTACTAATAACAAAATAATATCTGAACTGAAAGCATACAGTAACCAAACGTGTAAACCGTAGAGTGTTTAGATCCTCCAAACCAGTCTATTCAAAATCGAACTTTTTTATTTTAGTTAATACTTAATATACATTTATTTTAAACAAATCCCAAAATATGGAAAATTATACAAGATTTTATTACAAAAATAATTTCAATCAAATTCGTGCAGATTTTCATGTTGATTAGTGATATTTTGAACTGGAAAAAAACTGAATAGATATAATTATAAATCTAATAAACTAGATTAAATACTGTAGATGCTAAAATGATGATGAAATTTTATATATAAAGAATTGTAACCAGAACAAAAATTCCCCTAAACCTAGATTTTTTAACCATTAAAATAGAAGTTTAAACCAGATTTATTAAAATATACTGTAATATATTGCTTTATTTATTTAGATTTTTATTTCTCCGTTTTCTGTCTCATTTTTTATCAAAGTTAATCAAAATAGTGTAATACGGCAAACTGATTTTGTGTCGGTTATTTAATACAATATATACAATTGTTCAAAATGGCATATTCTAGACTTGTGGATCTATCGTTTCGTGAGACAGACAGCCATAGACAAAGAGAGATCCAAAGAAAAAGAATTATTGAATATTTGGCAAATAAATAAATAAAAGTAGGTCTACAGTATGTATATAATAAAACATATAGATGGACCAACTCTATTCATTGTTCACAGTTGTCATTTGTCAATCCAAAATAAATATCAAAAAGTGTGTGGAAGTGTAGTACGTTTACTATTTATAATTTTTTTTTTTATATATAACTATCTATAAGGATTTCAACGATTTAAAACTCCGTAAATTGTTTAACAACTCTTTCTTGTTTTCACGACTATTAATAACAACTTAACTAGCTTTTTACCTTGATTTCAGTTGAAGCATGGTATAAATCTGTCCCCAAGCCGAACGAATAATCATTTTCAACATTATAATCGACAATTCAAGAATACGTGTGGATAATATATTGTAGAAACATATAATAAAATTATGAGAGAAGAAAGATTGAGCAGATTTTTTTTTTTTTTTCAGCAGAAGGGTTTTTTGTTTTTGTTTTGAAGGGATGTACGGTACTTATAGAAAACAAATGGATGAATGCATAAGAAGAAATTAATATGTTTCGTTTAGAAACAAGGTAACAAATATAAATAGATACATTTTGAACTCTTCAAGAAAAGCAGCCATCGATGTAACCAAATTAAGATGGTTTTACTTTTATGGACTGGACATCTTTCGCTTTGAAATTTAATAACCATTTTGTCTAACTCGGGATGACTTCAAATCTTTAGTTAAGCATTTTCTACTTAAGTTATAGTTTACAACATAAAATTAAAAGTTGGTTGTACTGATATTTTAATATAAGCTACATATTTTAACATATTGTCAAGAATGTCTCTAGTAAAAATACAACAAATCTTATTTGTACTTCTAGATACTAAAAAAAGACTGTTGTCAAAAACAAAAACTAAAACTAAAAAAGACTCACATTCAAATCTTGAAATATTTTAAAATTTTCAATATAGATTCGAATTTGTTAAAAAAGAATCCAAGATATAGTCTTAAATGTTTTGATACAAAACTAAAAGTAAACGAAATTAAATCATTAATTGTATCATCTTCAGATGGCAGGAAAACTTTAAACTTTGGCATTTTATGGTTAACAAATAGGAAAAATTCATAATGAATTAGCATTTTTGATCATTTTTAATCTATCAATTAATGTATATCTGTATTTATATCTCATGTTTGTTGTTAACGACGTTTAGAACTTCGTCATTCTAATTTCAGTAAATTATTACGCGAAATCATTAAACATATGTGAGAGGAACTAATTAACCACAATTTCTATAGTTTTTTTCTTTTGCTAAAAACACAGTTTCTAGACATACAGCGGCAATGTACTTTAAGCAACGATCTCCTGCTCAGGTTTAAAGAAAGATCAACTTTATTAACTTTTTTTTTTATCTGTGAAGAGTGAAGACAACTTTTAAAAAAAGAGAAATGTGTACACGTGTAGATGTGAAGTTATGAACATTGAACAGGTTATAAATACAAGTAACTCACGAATACATCAATATATAAATATTGATATAAAGATGCTGTTCGGTTATAAGTAACATCTCGATCAATCTCCTTCGTGTTTGCTATTCGAAAATGATTGTTAATTATAATTTGATTTACACCACATTCGTGTTCGTACGTGTTGCATTGGTAACACTAATCTTTTACGACTTACTTACATATATTGCTACAAATACAATCATTTTTCTAATAGTTGTGGAATGAATGTGAATTTAAGATGATGTTTGGATTTAGTTTGTGGTTAACGTCGAAGTCTCATAATGAGGTGCGATGGTTTTAGAGAACTATAGAATCAACAAATATATCATTAAATACATGAAGTTTCTATGACCATATACATTCCACCGACATCGGACATTACATTGCTGTCGGACTTAATTATTTATTTTGCTAAAACAAGAATACACTTCTCCAATTGGAATTTTTAAGACTAGCATTTTTCTTCTATAAATATTTGCTGTAATTGTCATTTTATACAAGAAATTAACAAGAAAACAGAGAGAAAAACGTGTAATATTCCTAAGTTTAATTAAATACTTCATTTATAGTCCAGTCTAATTACTTAGATTTAATTAAATTCGCAATTCACAAGTTTTAATGCTTATGTATTTCAGGTAACATGTTATATGGGCATCTTATTCCCTAGGTAGAAAGGTAGTTTATAAGTTATACAAATAAAGCATTAACAATTTTCTTAGCGATATTCAAACTAACAGAAGTATCTAAGAAGAGAACAACAAATAAATAAAGTAGAGGTTTTTTTTATATATTATGTTTTGCTTAGAATAGAACAAACACGTTTAGTAAAGAAACCAGCTAACTGTGAAGATAAGTAAGGCGAGAAATATTTAGTTGCAAAGGTTGAAAATCAACAATCATATGCCCATGAAACTCCGTGTCGGTGCGCGTGCGCGTGCGTGTAGTATATGTCCAAGCCAACGTGTGCATTGAATTTGTTTTTTGAAAAAGTCATTAAGAGTTTTTGTTCAGAAAAAAATACTCCCATATGGTCTCTATTTAGTTTTTTTTTTTGTTTTTAATGTGCTCTCTATTTAAAATCAAGAGTGTATTACCTTATATACCATATATTATTTAGGGTTTTTCTATGTGAAAATTCTAATAAATTCACTCGAGATGATGATTATTTTGAATTCATTTTAAACGGACTTCTATGACAATATATACATTTTTGGACCATTCCATTTGAATCAAAATGTTAAATCGACAAATGAGTGGATTGATCTGAAATTATTAATTAAAATGGGTTTATATTTATAACAAGAAAGCTCAATTTACTAGGATTTATATTAACCCAAATAGTAATATGGGCCTTAGAGGCCTTACAATTAACCAAAGGATGAGGACCGTAGGATTAATCTTTCTTCTCTCTCGATTAGGGTTTATGATTTATCCTCTCTGGCTTTAGCATATTTTTTTGTCTCTCTGCTCAAAAAACCTCGGCGCCCTTTTTTTTTTTTGTTCATCCTTTCTCTGCGCCGCGCCGAATTGTCTCTCTCATCTCACTCATCCCTTCGATTTAATCCATCCCAGGTAGGTTTCTTCGATTTCTCTTAGACCATTAGTACAGAGCTTGATGTTTGTTCTCGTTTTAGTGTATAAAGTCTTTTGATTAGTTTGGTTTCAATCTGACATATATTTTTTTGCGTAGAAGATCATCGTTGTGGTGAATTAATAAACACTGATTTGGCGTAGTTTGCATACTCTCAGAAGTCAGAACCATCACTGATGAGGAAGCTCAAATTCCACGAGAAGAAGCTTCTGAAGAAAGTAAATTTCTTAGAATGGAAGAGGGAACATGGGCATCGCGAAACCCTGATTACGCACCGATACCACGTCGGATCCCGTGACGATTACAAAAAGTTCGTAAATTTTGTTTCCTTTTTGTCCATAACATACTCTCAATGCGCATTTTCTACTTATGTTTCAATGGTTTTCTGATTCGTGAGGTCTGTTTTTTGCCAGGTATTCGGGATTGTGTAGGATGGTGCAGAAACTGACGCATGTAATGAAGCAGATGGATCCAGCGGATCCTTTTCGTATTCATATGACTGATATGCTTTTGGAGAAGCTGTGAGTTTTCATTAACAGTTTGTACAATTTTCAGAGCTTCTTACGAGCAAATGGCTCTTACATCGATATTCGCTATCATTTTTTCTTACAATATAGAAACGAGAGGTCATCTTAGAGACAGCTGAATTTAGTGTTCATAGATTTTAGGACCGTGGGTTTGCAATTTCTTGTAGGTTGAATGTCATCCTGGCAAAATGTTTGATCTTATGGTTTTTCTGGTTAACACAATCTTGAGGAGTCGCTTGAGGCTGTTTCTTAGAGCTATGTAGAGCTAAGTTAATGAGTTGATCTCCGAAACCATAGATATAAATTCTGCTTATGTATAAGGGGCAAAAAAACATTCTACTGATTCTTGTTGATCTCGTGGTTCCACTCTGCAAAGAGTGAACTTGTTTTCTTGATGGATAAATGGCTAATGTTGTTTCCATGTGTGTTGCAATGGCAGGTACAACATGGGCGTTATACCGACGAGGAAAAGCTTGGCTTTAACTGATCGGTTATCAGTTTCGTCTTTCTGTAGGTAAGGGCTTATGCATACCCTTTTATAGGCGTTTCCTTCTTTCCCTCTAGAGCCATTGCTCTCATTTTAGATGGCCTTATGTTTTCTTCTTCTGATTTGCAGGCGTAGGCTATCGACTGTGCTGGTTCATCTGAAGTATGCAGAGCGCTTGACAGAAGCTGTGACATATATAGAGCAAGGACACATTCGTGTAGGACCAGAGACGGTTACTGATCCAGCTTTCTTGGTAACTCGGAACATGGAAGATTTCATCACTTGGGTTGATTCTTCCAAGATTAAAAGGAAGGTGCTCGAGTACAATGATAACTTGGATGACTATGACATGATTGCTTAAGCTTTGAGGAGATAAAGAAATACTATGATGTTTTCTTGTTTTGTAAAAGCTCAAAAAGTTTCAATGCTCTTATGATGTAAGGTTTGAATTTTTGGGTTATGTTCTCTGGAATATGGTGAATGTCAAGGTGAATTTCCATTACTTATTCAAATTTGTTATAATTTTGTGAGGAAATAGAAAATACCATAACGGTTGTTTTGTCTCACTTTCTGATATATTTGTCAGGGGAAATTTCAGAAGAAAAAATATTGTAGTTTGGACCACAACAAACAAATTACTAAATCCGGCTTTGTAATTATAAATCTTAAGATAGCAGAAAATAAAAATGGGTGAACATACTTTTAGTTGAACTTAATTTTTTTCAGTTGACGTCAAAAAAAAAAAAAATTCAGTTTACAATTGTAATTTGTGTGAAATGTTATTTTAACCCGTTTTTGGTCCGACCCGACCATAACGTACCGAATCGACTTGAAATTGTAAAACCTCTCCCCTTTTTGCTTTCCTCTGTCTCTCTCGCTCGCTTAGAAGTTAGAGAAAGCTTCAAACAGCTGAAATGGCGGTTCAGCCGAATCACAATGCATCTTTTGAGATCAGATTAGCTTCACCTTCTCAGAAACTCTTTAAGAAACCCATAGCTCAAATCTCGCTGTCAACGAAGCTCAAACCCACTTCTCAACCGTCGATTTCGTGCTCCACTTGGAATCCATGTCAAATTCCGGCGAGACTCTCCGGTTTCAGTTCCGGAATATACGCATATTCCTCTTCCTCCAATCCTATCTTCTCTCGCGAACCACCAGAATCTGAATCTCCGCCACTCGGAAAGGTCAGTCATCGTCAAAATATTTTTCTTGGAACCAAAACTGGGGTTTTAGCTAGATAGACAAAATTGGAGTGGTTTTGACATTTGTGAGAGAAAAAGGTTTAGCTTTTAACAAACCGGATCGAATATATCATCATCCTCCTTTATCACTATAATCCTTTGTTTCCATGAGATTCCCTTACCAAACAGGTGGTACAGTTTGTTCCGCATGTCTGAACACAACACATGACCATAAAAGCTTATGTATATGTATGCATCTCCATGTCTAAAATCTGGAGATGCCTACATGTATAACCTCCCTTATATTGCATCATTCTTCTTCATTTCCGCATTCTCAAACCGACATCTCTTATCTGATCTCCATCCATTTAATCGGAAGTTTTCCCGTTGCAAAAGAAGCTGTGTGTGTGCTAATGATACCTCCCTTATGTTGCTTGATTCTGGAAAAAAAATATGTGAATTTGGAAAGAAAGCTGAGGTTTATTGTCTCTGAACTGCAGAAGAAGCTGCGTGTGCTGGTGAAGCCGCTGGAGAAGCCGAAGGTGGTACTAAAGTTTGTGTGGATGCAAAAGGACATAGGAGTTGCGTTAGACCAAACGGTTCCAGGATTTGGAACAATCCCGCTTGGTCCGTACTACTTCTGGCCTAGGAAAGATGCTTGGGAAGAGCTCAAAGCTTTGTTAGAGAGCAAGCCCTGGATCTCCGAGCTTCATCGCGTCTTCCTCCTTAACCAAGCCACAGACATAATCAATCTATGGCAATCAAGCGGTGGAGATTTGTCTTGACTGAGTCTTGCTTTCAAAGTGTAAAGCTTTGTGTGTTTTATCAGTCCTTTCGATGCCAAAATTATGTTCTAAATGGATCATCAAAAACTTTGCAACAGTTCTATGTTTTAACTACTTGACGTTATCATTGCAGGAATGTAGAAAAAGAGTAAGTAGTCTATAACTTAGAAACCAGTTTATGGAATCAGAACAAAGATGATAACAAAAGGCATCATGGAAAATGTTTAGTCGAAGTACTTGGACATCTGAATCCCTTTATTGGTCAACCCACATTTCTCGTAGAACACTTTCTTCTCCACACCACAGTCGAGGATCACCTTGTAGCAACCCATAGATCGGCTATGATCCGAGAGAAACTCCACCACTTTCTTCCCGAGATGCTTCCCGCGGAACTCTGAATCCACCACAACGTCCTCGATGTGCCCGACTTTCCCGCAATTCCTCAGGAACTTCTTCTCTATCATCACGCTCCCCGTCGCCGCGATTTTCCCCGTCCACTCATCTTCGATCACGCAGATCACGTGGTCGTCTCCGTACGAGCTGATTTCCTCGAACCGCCGATCGAAGTCCTCGTCGGTCACTGATCCCGTGACGGTGAGTTGTCCTAGAAGCTCCATGTATCCCTTTCTCTTGTCGGAGATCTCCAGTCTTCGGATCTTGAACGTATGTTTCTCTCCGCCGATATCGGAATTAGACGCTTCCGCCATAGCAGATGCAAGATGAACTCTGAGTTTTGGTCAGATTTACCACTTCACTGGAACTGAACTAACAAGACCCACCACAAATAAAGACCAAAGAAAGTAATAATTGCACAAAAGTCCTCGAGCTTTCATATATTTATAAAAGTTGCTTAATCTCTTGATTAAAGTGAACTAGTCCATTCAAATTGACATTTGATGTAATAATAACTAGTCCAATTAAAGTATTAATTGCTTCTTCTACATTTTGATAACTTTATTTGTTTTTTGTTTTCGTACTTTGTAAGGTTGTATGTAGTTGAGGTGAGGATTTAGACAATGAATGAAAAACCAGTAAATGAAACTCTTTTGCAACAATATTTATTGAAATCACAACAACCCAACAAAGTGAAAATGCCGAGGAAAACAAAAAAAAAAACACAAAAACAACAAAGATGATACATAATAGATTACATAATTGGAAAATGTGTGGAGAAAGGATTTTTAAATCTAGGGTTGATGGTGACTGGAAAAGGAAGAGGAAGCCGGAGGGACTCCTGGGAAGATGGGAGGGAAAGAAGGTTGCGGCGGTGAAGGCGGAGTTATGACCGGAACAGGTGGAAGAGTCGGAACACCTGGTACTGGAAGAGTTGGAACACCCGGTACTGGAAGAGTGGGAACACCTGGTACGGGAAGAGTCGGAACACCCGGTATTGGAAGAGTCGGAACACCCGGTACTGGAAGAGTCGGAACACCCGGTACGGGAAGAGTCGGAACACCTGGTACGGGAAGAGTCGGAACACCCGGTACGGGAAGAGTCGGAACACCTGGTACTGGAAGAGTCGGAACACCCGGTACTGGAAGAATCGGAACACCCGGTACAGGAAGAGTCGGAACACCCGGTACTGGAAGAGTCGGAACACCCGGTACTGGAAGAGTCGGAACACCCGGTACGGGAAGAGTCGGAACACCCGGTACTGGAAGAGTCGGAACACCCGGTACGGGAAGAGTCGGAACCCCCGGTACTGGAAGAGTCGGAACACCCGGTATTGGAAGAGTTGGAGGAGAAGGAATAAGCGGGTTTGGAGGGATGAGAGATGGCGGGTTTAGCGGGTTTGGAGGGAGGAGAGGCGTTACCGGGTTCGGAGGAAAGAAGGCATCTGGTTTCAGTACTTCGGTTTTCTTGTCACTCAAGGAATCATCTTTCTTGTTGTGCAAGGAGTGTGACCTCTGCGGTCCTGGAGGAAGAACAGGAGGAAGTTCAGGAAGTCCGGGAAGTCCGGGAAGTCCGGGAAGTCCGGGAAGTCCAGGAACGGGTAATTTCGGAAGCGGAGGAACGATTGGGAGATTTGGGAGAGGGGAAGAGTTATCAGGAACTGGATCTTGGATCGGTGGAGGGAATGCAGGATCCGGTAGAAGAGGCTTTGACTCGCGGAGATTGATCGGTTTCTGGCTACAGATCTCTGGTTGGTTTTCGGGTTTGAAAGTGAAGAATCCTGCGGAGAAGACCCGAGTGTTCTCTCCATGTTTGCTCGATTTAAGGCGTTTCAGAGAAGAAGAAGTCGCGGAAGCAGCTATAGAGCAGAAAGGCTGTGAGCTACTTAGCAACTTCACGGAGCATCTCTTGATCTTCTTCACATGTTTGCTCACTGTGAAAGGTAGCTTTGCTTTGAACTCTCCGTGCTCGTCGGTTTTCACTTCTTGTCTGAAGCTCGGTTTCGAGTTCTCGTCAATACATTCCACTGCAACTAAAGCACCTGTAACAAGATCCAACAAACTGATGTAAATTCTTTCTAAGTTTTTAGCCCACAAACCGGTCGAATTGCTCTGAATGTTGAACAAGAACCGATGAAGTCATATTGATAACTGATGTTTTAGTTAAAACAGAGTACTCTGTAAACAGACGACCAAGAAAAGAAAAAAAGAAAAGCAAACGAACCTGGGATCAAGTGGTTGTGTGATTTCGAAAAGGCGCCATTAAAACAAGTGTCACAGTAGACAGTTCCGACCACAACTGCAGAGGAACGTGTCTTCTTCACAATATGTTGATGTCCTTGAGACAAGCCTCCGTTAATAGAGATTCCTAAGAAAATCATAAAAGTAAACCAAATCGAGAAGGTCGTTGTTATCTCCATAGTTATCGACTCAGTCTCTCTATCTCTCTGTCGAGGAATGATTGATTTAAATAGGAGTTGGGGTGTGAAGATGAGTGACCCACGAAAAAGAAGAAGAGATTGTAGAGAAAAAGCTTATCTCTTTGCTTTGTTAATGTGAGTCATGGGAAAAATACAAGTATAGCTCCCAAACTACAAAGCTACTATAATATCTTGTGACTTATATTTCTGTTCTTCTACAGCTCAAAAGCTTAAATTATTGAAAAAAAATAGTAAGAGGTGAGAAAAAGACAACAAATGTATTTGGATTCACGTTCGCGTGTCGATCAGACTGATTCTTGCATGGTAGAAAAAGAAATACAAAGTTAAAAAAGCCAATTATTTTTTAAATTTTAATACATGAATTTTAAGCCACAGTTGAGACTAGTTTTTTTTTTCTTCACTGTGTTAATGGTAAAAAAAAAGTTGTACACAAACAAATCTTGGAAATTTTGAGTTATATTCTTCTTTTCTTTTTTCAAGTATTTACAACCGGATTTTTGAATAAGACTAAAAGCATGACATGATTTCTCATTTCCAAATTGTGAATTATTGTGTATAGATGCTTTATGTATTATCACATCCCTATTTTCATTGAAAAACATTCAAAACAATTATTTTTAGAATATCTTAATTACCGATTAAAATTTTATCGTCATCAAAATATAAATTACCAACACATCATTTAAAATAATTTTTGTTCATCTACATTAACTAGTTTTTTAAACTAAAATAATGTAGATTGTTATGAAAGTAAGAGGTTGTTAGTTTAACTCTATTTTGTCAACAACAAAATACATTATACCGAGTTTGAATATTGATAACACAATTACGATACATGGTACGATCTTGTTTTTCAGGTTTGGTGAAATATATAAGCTTTATAGCCAATGAGAGTGTAAAGTTGATAACTAGACATGATGAGTTACAATTTAATTTTTCCCTTTAACAGAGGAAACAATACTTGAAATATATGAAAGTGAAGTCTATTGGGAATAAGAATGGGAGTGAATACAGTTGGAGAGTCTCTGTCGATTCACGAGACACTAATGATGTCCACACAAACCATATATTCCCAATTCTCTTACTTCTGTCTTCTTATGTAAATAATACACATAATCATTCTTGATAAGGACAAGAAATTTAATCAAATAATAACTAATAATCAAAGAATGTGAATGTTCTTTTTAACCTTTTTTCATCTGTTTAGTTGTTTTTCACATGGCGCCGTATATGCTAAAATATCACAAAATCACGAGAATGAACATATACTAGTAGAAACCGATGAAAAAACAAAACAACAAACAACATACCATATTGGATAGATCGACAACGGGACTGTAAATTCATCTAAGTGTTGATGACAAGTATCAATATTTCGTAGATAACTACAACAACAATATAAGAACAGAAAACACGAATCATTTGATATCTTTTTTTTTTAACTAGATTTTCGAATCATTTGATATCAAAGGCTAGTATATTAAACAACGATTAAAATAATTAGAACAATATGCTTTGTTGTGAGGATTTCAATTCATATTTTTGAGTAAAAACAAAGTTGTGGAAAAGGCATTTTTAATTTTTTAATAAGACAAACATTTGAATAATTTCGATAAAATAGAGGACGATATAATAAAATGGGCCGACATCAAATTAACCGAAATCGTAGTTAAAAGTCTGGTCTTGCCCATTCATTGATATGGGCTAGTTGACAAAGAAAAAAAATTCCTGACTCTTTGTTGTCGACTAACAAACAGTGAAACATCTGATTATTTTAGTTCGGAATAATTCAGAGAGTCATCATCATCTAATATATACTCAAATCGTTCAAGATATCAGGATGATAATAATTAAAACTATTGATATAAAAATACATTTATGCGTTCAAGTTAAAACAACACCATGAATGTTTTTATTGCAAGAAACTAAGCATAACACTACCGGTAATCGCAAGGAACTATGCATTAGACTACCGGTTTCGCTTGAAGATTCTGAATATCTGGAGTCTGATATATTTTACTATATTATCGGTTGAAACAAAAGTCACAAAGGAAATTAAAAGTTCAAAAATCATTCTGTTCCATCTTGAAGCTTACGTCTTTCACTTCAAGAAAAAAATTCACTTCAAAAAAGAAGCTTAACGCCAACCAATTTTTTAACCATTTACATTAGTAATTTATAAACCAACGCTACATTTATAGTTTATTGTACGATTCCATGTATTTGTTATAGTTGAATGTACAGTATAATTGCTATTTTGAGTGGTTATGAAATGTGACTAAACTAAAACATTTTCTTAAAGTATATTTTTTAAAAAAAAACAAGCTCATTTCAATGTTTATTATTGTATAGACGCCAATGGCATACAGCAACGACGCCCACCCACCTTCACACCAACTTCATCACACTCCTCTTCACTTTTTTCCTTCAATCTTTCTTCTCGCTGACGGTTTTTAATAAAAGTTAAAGTAATGGAAAATTCCTCCCAAGTCTTCTACTTTCCTGGGAATCTGCTAATAAAGCTATAATTGATCTCATTAATTTCTTTCCATTTTTATTTCGAAATTGAAACTTCACCGGTCTTGGGGTCCCTCGTCGGTTCTTTGTCTCCATCTCCCTCTTTTTCTTTCCGTCGAGTCCAATCGAAAACGAAAACCCAAGTTTAGTTCTTCATGAAAGGTACAGTCTTCGTTTCGATTTCGTCTGATTTTTTTCTTTTTAAACTTGTTCTTATGTAATGGGTTTTGATCGACTATGATTAGTAACAATCTCAAAGTGTTCCTCTTTATTTTTCTGATCAAATTTTGCTGCTTTTTTCTGTTTAATTGAATTCTCTGAGTCATCGTGGGTTTCTCTGTTTTATTGCGTTTGTTAGGGATTTTAGTTGCAACTTTGAATCGGTTACTTGCTTGCATTTCACTTTGACCCAATTGTGCCTTTATTTCCCAAAATGATGCCTCGAGTTTTCTTTTTGGCCAAACACACAAATTTGTGCCGAGTTAGGTGAATGTTTTGATGTCTCTTGCTGGGAATCTCTCTACTTAAAAGTTAGTTGTTTTCAATTATAAATGTTTTTCTTTTGTTGGTTTGTGACTGAAGAGAGGTGTAAAACTCCAAACAGTGAATTCAGATCATTTTATCAAAAACAAACAGTGATCAGATCTTTTTACAGGTGAAAATTCGAAAGCAGATTGCTGGTGAAATCTTGGGAGAGTTTCTGTAAATAGGAACCTCGTATTTGGCATTCTTGGTGAAGGTTAAGAAGGACTTCCCTAAACCGGGTTTGTGATTTTGGTACATCTCAGTGTTGTGGGTGGAATTTGCCTGCAAGTTCTTGAGTTAGAAAGAAGTACGAAGAACATATAAGAGAAAGAGATGGGCTGTGTTTCTTCTTGCTTTCGGGTAGAAGAATCTGAGGACTACACGAATCCAGGTAGTTCCGTAAATAGAAACTGCCCATGCCCGAGATGTCTTGTTAATAACTTCCTTCACTTGGTAATGTTCTCTTCACAGTGTTTTACTTTGGAACTGCTAGTTTTTTTTCAAAGCAGAGCTCATCAAAGCTCTGAATTTTTTTATCTCTTTTTGCAGTACATCTCTTTATTCAGAAGAAGCGAAACCCGCTCTCTCCCATCCTCCTTACAAGCTACTACTGTATCGATAACTTCCTCTACTTCCTATGATAACTTTATGTCTAACACATTCCACTCTACTCCAAGGCCTCTGCCTTATGATGCTGATCCAGGATACTTCCGGTCACGCCGTGATTCGCTCGTATCAAGACGCGATAAGGGCTCAAGTCACTCTCATGAGGAAGCTGAGCCTCTAAGAAGTGACGCTGATTTGGATTCTGAGTCTTTCTCAGTGGAAGGAAGCAAATGGGCTAAGAAACTTGTCATCTCTGGTGAGGATTCCAGAGAAGAGTTCTCTAAATCCAGTCGGAGAATTCTCAAGTCGAAGTCAATGGATGCTGGTAATGAAGGCGTGTATATAATGTCTGATGATGAAGATGTCTGTCCAACGTGTCTTGAAGGTATTCCGTTTCTCATCTCTCTCTTTGTCTTTGCTCATAATAATCCATTTTAAAGGAAAGCTAAAGTTTCAGAAAATTTTGGCTTTTCGCAGAATACATATCAGAGAACCCGAAGATTGTTACGAAGTGTTCTCACCATTTCCACCTCAGTTGCATTTATGAATGGATGGAGAGAAGCGAAGACTGTCCTGTTTGTGGAAAGGTACCACTTTTCATGTTCATCCAAGCCATTTCTTGGTTTCTCATTCACTGGTAATTCAGATTCCAGGCAACATCAGGCCTAAGTAGATGTGTGTGCATTGTATTCTTAATTCTCAGGTGATGGAGTTCAACGAAACACCGTGACTGATCATCATTAATCCTGTCTTGTACTGTCTAATCTGAAACCGTGGAGATGGACAAGGCAACAGAGAGATGTGCAAATTGCTTTCATCTGTAAATATTGTCTATCTACAGTAAATGGTATATATATGATGGGGAAGTGAGGAAATGTCGCTCTGCACAGTTAGCTTATGGGGTAATGAGGAAATCCTCACAATAACAGCAAAACACACACAGGAATTCTCACGATATGCCTCTGACGCAGTGTTTTAATTGTCCAAAGCATGAACCTTTTTACATCATCTTGAATGAATTACTCAACCTTTTATTAATATGTGATGTTTTATAAATTTGGCCGAGAGGTTTGCAATTGGGTCAAGTACAGATCTCCATATCGTAATCCAGTTAATATGTTTCTCATTACATGCTTCTTAGTGTACTACTTTGACAAGGTTCAATAGTTCCACACGCATTTCAATCCTTAATTAAAATAGCAATTGTTCCCAAAAGACACAACTGTCCTAAAGATCCTCAGGACATTATATATAGCCACTTATGTCCGCAAATCCAAGTCTTGTGTCTATACTTTTTTTTATATATTTGATATATAACAGTTTTTCGTTGTTGGTGAGCTTTAATATCACATGACTTTCAGAGCATCCAGCCTGGGATGTAACCGTTTCCTGGCTGCGCCTGAGCTTGTGTTGTCGCAGTTATCTGCTCGGAGCACACCGGATTGTCATACCTGTCACAATCATCATCGTCATCACCATAACATCAACAATTAATAGCTTAAAAGGTTCACACACACAAATTGATGATCTTCTTAATACCAAGCAACTGAAGAACCTCAAACAAAGACAATCTCAGTAGTGAAGTACACAAGTTGATTTTTCAGTGAAAAGATCTGAAAGGATTTACCCGATTTGCAGAGTTGGATTGCATTCAAGAGGCTGGTACAGTCCCTGAGACTGAGCTTGATGATGCGCGTAGGAAACGTTCTGTTCGTTGCCTTCCCATCCTCCTCCTCCTCCTCCCATGTGATGACTTCTCACACCAATCATATCATCCAGCTATACAATTACATTTTTTTCACCAAAAAAGACTATTGATTAGACCCAAGAAAGTATAACTTTTTTTCCAAAATGCTTAGGAAAACTTTAAAATCCGTGAAAGAAATTGATCGCAGTAACAGGATCTTCATCAATATACCTTCATTGACAAAGCTCTATTGGTTTCAAGCAACATTTGCTCTTTGCTTTGAAGATCAGAGAGCTGGTCAAGCATGTACTGTGTCTGCAAACAATCACCACGCCACCATAATAGTTATTATTAAACAACAGAGACATTTTCACACATTAATCTCATTTAAATCATCATTGCATGTCTATGTATAATAGATTCAGATAGCTCATGATATGACCTTGATGGACCGCACTTGCTTGAGAGAGCCGTCTAGTTGACGCTCAAGCTGCTCTAATTCCTTTGAATTCAGAGGTCCTAAATCCTCCCCAAGAAGATTTCTGCACCAACGAAGACACATTCAAACAAATACGAATGATATTATTTGCATATAATTGTGTGTATATATATATATATAGAGAGAGAGAGAGAGGGAGATTATACCTTTGCTGACGCTGAAGGCTCTCATATCTACCCTTTAGCTTCAGATACTCTCTGTAGCTGTTCTGAAATTTCAAGTAGAAAAAGATTATTGAAAGGATCTTTGTTGAAATGGTATGATATAAATTTAAATAATCTAAAGAGCACCTCAAGTTCTTTGGCAGGTTTGTTGTTGATTTCAATGGAGCCGTAGCTACATTTCTGGTACCGTTCCAATGTCTTGATCATGCTGAAATGAAAAAGCACAATTTAAGACGAGACGATATACCCAATAAGATCATACTTGACATAGGACACAAACCTAATTCATCATAAACAAGACATGTAAAGATGTCTTATCTATATGCTTGAACTCCTCAATTTTTTTTTTAATAAAGTATTTTCCTATCAAATTTGAAGATTATTTTCATTTGTCAGCCACGAGTTTCTTAACATGTGATTGTTTCAAACGTTATAATTTTGCGTTAAATGCTTACATATAACAAATATAATGAGTTTTGCGATTCACAAATGCAGATAATACTTTTATGAAAACAATTAATTTCCAAGGCAAACTATTTTAACATATACACAAAAAAGAAAGAAAGGAAAACAAAGAATCAAAACCTTCATAAATACACACACGTTTGAAGTTTTAACCACCATAAAGTTGTATGAACTAACAGTTGGTTAATGCATGGAACCATATATTATCATTCTACGTTGGATCCTTATTTCCATAGAAATCTGTGTATACTACTTTTAAGTTTCCAATCACACACACACATAATTAATATCTCGTTATAAAAACTTTTCAGATTGCATATCTGCCTATCTGGATTTGGATTTACTTTGAAATCCATCTACAACATCAACATGTATATATTAAAATAAAAAGAGTTAAAAACATAAATTGATTGCAAACTTCACAGCTCTCAATCTTTGACAGAAGAAAAAACAATAAGAGCAAAACCAGATCTAAAATTCCACGAATTTAAACCAACATATAACCAGATCAATTGAAAATTTGAAATCTAACTGAACTCAAGACGTTCATAGAAATCAAGATCGTGTGATCTACATAGTTCCAAGAAAGTTCTTTACACAAAGATCTAAGCTCAGATCTAGCAAAAACCAAGAAAAAGTAAAATTGAAGAGTGAGAGTGATTACTTTGAGGAGCTGCAAAACTCATAGAGCTTTCCACGGTTGGAGAAGATGATGAGAGCAACCTCAGCATCGCAAAGAACAGACAATTCATACGCTTTCTTCAACAAACCGTTCCTACGCTTTGCAAACGTTACTTGTCTGTTGATTTTGTTCTCTATCCTCTTCAGCTCTACTCTTCCCCTTCCCATTTTTGGTTGCCTTACTTTCCTCTTTAATATATATATATGTATACACACAAATATGGGTATGTAGTGTTTTATCTATATACAGAGACACACAAAAACATGAGTTGGGTATCTCTTTTTCTTAGGAAAGATCTGATCTTTATGAAGTTTTTTTTGTTCTTTAGGGTTCTGGAGAATTTACTTTAGGGGAAAAGAAAATTAGCCCTAATTCAAGAACAAGAGGGAAGAAACTACTGATTTTCTAGCTTTGATTTTAGGGTTCTTGATTTCTTTTCTCTTTGTTTTGGAAGTGTGTAATCAAAATGAAAGAATCTAGAGATTGGGAGCAAAAGATAAGAAATTTGTGAATGTGAGGTTAGGGTTTGGTGTGTTTTCATTTCAAGCCATCTCCAATTTCTCTCCTTACTTTTTTATTCTTTTTTTTTTATACTCTATTTGACAAAAACCACTCTCTCCAAGCGCGTGGTTCAGTTTGGCTTACATTAGCATTGGTTTAGTTCAATTTAATTAATTACCCTAATCGAAATTATTATCACGGAATTCGTAGTTTTCAACTTGAAGGGAAGAATATTGGACTGTAATTGATTAGAAAATATGTGTGCTTCTCTTCAGGTAGAATTCATGTCTCTATATATATATGGTGTCTACTATTTTAGGTATATATACCTGACATTACACAAAAATATCTAAACATATGCTTTCTTGAGATTTCTGTGTTTATATCATAATAACAATTTTTTATAAAAAAAAAAATATATATCATAATAACAATTTATATATGTTTAGTTATATATATTGCAACAACTTTTGTTGAACGTATCACTTTTGATGTTTGACTCGTAACTAAACACATGAGGCCCAGAGGTTATCATTTAACATGTATAAGGTCATTCTCATTCTCATGTAAGAAACAATTCAAAACAATATTAACAAAAAATGTAAAGATTTTGAAATTTTAATTTTGCAACCAATTTATGCTTTGCATATACATTCCGGAGTTTTTACCCTGGTTATTTTACGAGTCTCGAAACTTCAAAATTACTATAATTTTAAAACAGAAGTAAACATTATAAAATTGCAACTTGTAGATATATATAAAGCGCGTGGTATTGTGAATAAACAACGAAAAATTATTAATGTAATAAATGAAAGCAACTTATCATATCATTTTCTAGTTGTTTTCAGAAGCCGCAGAAAAGTATCTCCTACCTTAAAATGGGTTTACACGTGTCGCTTACTTATTGGAATTCAAAATCATTTTTTGTTTTAAATTCGGTTCAAGATATGTTAACAAATACTAATGGGTTTTATAACCACACAACCCTAATTACTCATGTAAAAAAAACATTCATATCAAATCGGTGACACAAAACTAATTGTATATATATGTCTGGATCGAGTTATCCATTTATCTCGAATGTTTGATGCCAAGCAAGATGACATGTGAGGTATGTTGTAGGTAGCATAAATATGTTCCCCATACTTTAATTTAACATATGAAAGGGGAAAAAAATTAAAATACAGCTAAACTGTATATATATGATGAACTTATGCGATTGTTTACTGTGACTCAGCCCGGACTATAACAAACACTGTCAAGTCTAAGAGGTTTTTAAAGCAAAACATGCAAATTAAAATGTGCAACCATATCAGCATATAGATCCAGCGCATAATATTGGCATTTGACATGAGTATTGTATAACAACAGACTGCACGCGTACGCACAATATCAGCATATAGATCCAGCGCAAACGATATATATTTATTGTAATGGATCGATTAATTTGCAAAACCATGTTGGTTAAAACTTAAAAGTCAAAACAAACAAAATTTTCATTGTCGATCCAGCTTGGAATAGAAGTTTATTTATTTTTTTAGAATAATCTAGTTTTGGCTATTGCTTGGAAGAGTTTTGGGGTATTAATGTCGTTTAAACGAATACCAAAATAGGGAAAAATGTGGACTTTGTAAAGTAAACTATCACATATATATATATATATAATCAATCTTAAAGAAAATAATATATTTAGATATTTTTGGAAGAAAGGACATACAGTGCGTGCATATATTGTCAAGATTTTGTGTGAAAACCATACGTGAAAGTAAACCTTATATTTACTATATATTATACCATCACTTGAGCTTGCTAAATGCTAATTAATGCACGTTTATCATAAACCTTTTGTGTAAATTTGTTGGTTCAGGGAACTAATCTCCACTTTAGTTAGATTCAAATTTGGTCCTTCTAATAAACTCTTAGTCTTTGTAGTTTTTAACGTTTGAATTGAACATCATCCATTCATCTCGAAACTCTGTAATAATCATCTGGTTAATAGCATTAAAATTCTAAGGAGAGGACAACACAAAGATGATATTTTTTAATTCTAATTATCTTCTAAACTATATAGTCACTGTCAGAGCTAGTGCCAAAACATCAATTAAATAAAGGGTACGCAGCTTTAGTTAAAGGCCGGGCTAAAGGTTATTCCAAAAGGTGGAATATATATAGATTTAGATCACAATTGCGAATTACATATAGTTTTGTTAAACTAGGAAATTGAAATCACGCCACTGAAATGTTTAAACATTAAAGAACTTTTTTTTTGGCAGAGAATCTACCAAGCGAAAAACCTTCAGGTGTCCGTACGGATTTACAGAGGGATAAAGGCGTGGAAAAGTTTTAAAAGAGATCTTTACGGTGAACTTTAATTACACAACATGATGGGTGATGTGCTCTAATAAACACGTGTCGAGTTGTTATTGAACTGGACTTTTGTCGGAGACGTGTTCGCTGAGCCAAAGCCTCCTTTTTAACAGTGACTTGTCTACGTTATTTATTTACATTTTAACCCTTTTATTCTTCTTTATATACACGAACATCGTAAATACTTGTTTCTGAACAAACTATGGTTTCATTTCACACGTTTGTTAAGATTCGAGTTTTTTTTTAATTGAAAATTATGTTTTGTATCTATTCAACCGGTGGTCTGTATGTAAGTTATTAAGTTCGCAAAACATATTTATATATTTCTAGATTTTTTTTTTTTTTTGTTATAGCAGAAATGCCACAGCATAGACAATTGCTTTCCTGCCAATCAAACTTTGTTTTGAAATAAAATTCACCAACTATCAATAATGGTTTTTTTTTTTCAAAAGGACAGTAAATACTAAATAGTCACTTGATTAAATTAGAAAAACACTTGAAAATATGTGGCCAATTATATATATTATAGTATATCAATCACCAAAAATCCACCTAATGTTGCTTACAAGTTACAAGGAGAGCTTTTGACTACTAAAGTGAATTTCTCCGGTTTAAAGACAAGAAGTCCCGGTTAGCACAATCGAAATCAATAATCTAGCAACACATCTGGTAAAACTAGCCAACAGATCAAGAAATGGAATAATAAGAGACTTCACAGACGGATTAGACTAGACATCCTTATATATATATATATCATAAGTTCAAGAAGATTGGAACATGTAGTTTTTAGTCTTGAGGCAAATCTATCAAATACCAAAAAGGGGTCAAGACTTTGAGCACTCGGGGCAAGGGAAACAACCTTTGGCTTGGCAATTATCACACGCAGCTGATCTTGCGTTTGATGAGTCACCCAATCCAAAGATAACTCCTGACTTGATCGATCCTGTCCCTTTGCAACGGCCGCACGCTACACTCTTTAGGTCTCCACATTTCCTGCACATCCCAAGAGATCTGCAAAAAGTTGTGATTAGAAACATAAGATGGTGCGATATGGATTCAAGAACAGGTCTAATTTTCATTCAACCATAGACAGAAAACACTCTAGAACAGTTCTTGGAGAAAACAGCTGTGAAATGCACTATCTTAAAAATTATCCCTTTGACAGGCTATCTCATTACAAAGATAAAAGATCTTCATTGCGTGACAGCAGTAAAATTCCTTGAACATGAGCAAATGATCCGACACCCGAATATATCAATTTGTGACAACAGTAAAATTCAAATGCAAGAATCAAAAAATCTTTCAGTGAGCTGCAGATTTTCAGGAAACCATCACTTTCACATGGTGAGAACTTAGAAGAAACATGATGCCATTGGAGAGTGAGAGGCTAAAGACATAACCCAACATAGATTTTTGATTTCAGAATCTCTCGTTTGTTATGATTTCAAACAAACATATCACAAAGAAGCTCCTAAAGTCTTGTCATTTTCAGATTTTGAAATTCTAAAACCCCACTAATCAAGCCAGAAATTGATTGGTTATTCTCTTTTCTGTTTTAATTTATACTCAGAAAATGGAACAGCTTATCACAATTCTACGCATCTACTACAATCATCATCGTCATCATCATAATCGCATACGCCATGAACAATTCTCATGGGTTCATCCAAAATACAAGCATGCTCATCTAAAATCCGATACAATATGACATGGGTTTTCAGTAAGGACATGACAGATTGGGAAAAAACTGGGTTTTGTGCGTTTTAAACAATCTGTGCGGTGAGATAATGAAACTTGTAAGGGTATTTACCTTCTCTGAGCAGCGGCAATGAAAGCGTCAACTTTTGGAGCAGCGATGGCGGCACCGAGAAGCAGAGCCCCAACTGCAAAACCTGCAACTTCGTTTGATGTTAAGCTCTGCATCGCCTTTTTCCCTTTCTCAATCAACTCTTCTTCTCTGGTTCTTCTTAGCTTGATAAATGATATCCTGAACTACTGATACAAGCGTCTTATAAGTACCATTTACATCCACTGTTTAACAAATTGGCCTATTAGCTCAGTTGGTTAGAGCGTCGTGCTAATAACGCGAAGGTCACAGGTTCGAAACCTGTATAGGCCATTGATTTTTGTCCTTTTGTCCTCTCTTTTTGTATTCACTCATATCTGTTACCAGTGTTGTTATCACACATGGCCTATTAGCTCAGTTGGTTAGAGCGTCGTGCTAATAACGCGAAGGTCACAGGTTCGAAACCTGTATAGGCCATTTTATCTTTTTAATTTTTCCCATTTGTTTTGTTTCCCTCCTGTTTCGATAATCACCGATTTCACCCAATCAAAATTAAGGAAAGTTGTGAATTCTCTCCTCCTGTTTTTGACTATTTTTATTTTAACCCCGTTTGTTTTGATAATCACCAGTTTCACCCAATCAAAATTAAGGAAAGTTGTGAATTCTCTCCCCTATGGTTTGTTTGTAGGGTTTAAAACTAGTTTACTCCGTCCGCTTCTACCTGTACGGCCTCTTTCACCTTTCTTTTTCTCTGAAACTGCAACCAAAGGAAAAGCGATAGGGTTTCTTCAGACTCCATTCAGACAAGTCGATAAGTGTTGTCGGAATCTTTATTCACGTATTTATAGCTTCAAGCTTTGTGATTTGCCGTTCGGGTTACAGATTCGTGTTGGCAATTCAGTTTGTGAATCTTCTGCCCCTAAAGAGAAGAATATCAGATCAGCAATGGAGACAGATCTAAATGATTATACCGTCATTAAGGAAGGAGAAGCTGAGATTCTAATGCACAAGAAGAACCAAGTCTTCTTCAACAAAGCCCAGGTTCCAGCATTTTTTTTTTCCTTTCCTTTTGTTGCTATTGGATTTGATTTGCTGCAAAGGTTCTTCTTTTTTTTTGCTAAGAATTGATTGAATTACATCAAGGAGAATGTTAGGACCGTTCAAGTTTTAGTTTGGGGCATTATATTTTTCGTTTGTGATGTCAAGTTTAGTTTTTTTTTCAGCCATTAACACACTAAAAAGAAACGTTTAGTGTTTTTAGCTTCTTTTAAAATGCTTTCTCTTCTAATGATTAGCCGTTAGATGTTATGGCGTAGTTTCAGTCTATGTTTGTGAGAAACTGACAAATGATCCCAAATCCTTCTTAGCAATTGTAACATACACTTAAATTTCTAATATAAAGTACTTGTTTGTGAGCTAAACCAAACTGCTTATTGTTTTATGGTTAGGTCAACAACAGGGACATGTCCATTGCCGTCCTAAGGGCATTCATATCCAAATGCAAGCAAGAGCATGAGGCGATGTTGTCTAAAAGAGCTAGATCATCTGGGAAAGTAGTTGAAAAGAAGGCCTCTGAAATTCCCAAGGAAGAAACTCCCACCGAAGACGGTGAGGATAATGGTAAATCCAACGGAGAAGATGGAGTACCAGCTCAGGATGGACCAAAGGAAGCTGCCAAGACCGTATATGAACCTCCACGAAGAGAACTCAAGCCACCAAGAGTTCTTGAGGTCTACCCAATTTCTTTCCTTTACGACTGTAATAACTATGCTTTGTTTTCTTAATTCGTCGTTTGATTGTGCTTTACTGTGTTAGGTAACTTTTTTCTTGTGTTCTTAATTGTAGGCCCTGTCTGCTTCCGGGTTACGGGCGTTGAGATATGCTCGTGAAGTTGAAGGAATTGGTCAAGTTGTGGCTTTAGATAATGACCCAGGTATATTGTTTTTCCCAACATTTGTGCTTGTTATAAGGTTTCGAAACTCGAGTCTTCTTCTATCCTAATGTTCCCAGAATAATATAGTATCATCTTTTTCCTTTCAAAGCATCGGTTGAAGCCTGCCAGAGAAACATAAAGTTCAATGGCTTGATGTCTAGTTCAAAGGTGGAGTCCCATCTTACTGATGCTCGTGTCCATATGCTCAGTCACCCAAAAGAATTCGATGTGGTATGTCTTCACTTTTCGCACAACCTTATGCTCACTTAGTCAAAAAAAAACTTGTTGCATCTTATTGAGTGTCTTGTTCTGTTAACTAATTTGGTTAATTGATGTGTTAGGTTGATCTTGATCCATATGGTGCGCCGTCTATTTTCCTTGATTCAGCTGTTCAATCAGTTGCCGACGGTGGGTTGCTGATGTGTACAGCAACTGACATGGCAGTGTTATGTGGGGCTAACGGCGAGGTTTGCTATTCCAAGTGAGATTTCACCCTTTCATTACCTTACCCTGGATACAAATATCTATGCTTTTTGTCTGAATGTCTTAAATCTGTCTATTGTTAGATATGGTTCATATCCACTGAAAGGCAAATACTGTCATGAGATGGCTTTGCGCATCCTTCTCGCCAGCATCGAGGTAATTATTTTTGCTACTGCGAGGGATCAAATACCATTGAAATTGATTCACTTGTGCCAAATCTTCTAGGATTTTATTTGGTTTTAAGATGCTCTGTTACTATTTTCCCTTCTCTAAAGCTTTTTATCTTTTTGATGTATTGATTTTGGTGATATTGTTGGTTTACAGAGCCATGCAAATCGCTACAAGCGGTATATTGTTCCTGTTCTTTCAGTCCAGATGGATTTCTACGTCCGTGTTTTTGTCCGCGTTTACACGTAAGTTTTCGTTTTTTTTTTTTTTGCAAACACTAACCTTAGCTAGAAGCAAGTAAAGATTGGAGCTTTATGAAATGCAGTTCGGCGAGTGCAATGAAGAACACTCCACTAAAGCTGTCATATGTCTATCAATGCATTGGTTGTGATTCCTTTCATCTTCAGTCTGTTGGAAGATCTCTCACTAAGGTTTCGTGTCTTTCTCGTTTGCATTCTTTAGTTTCTGAAGACCACATTTTTCGATAATCCTCTTCTAAAAATTTTGTCCCTTTTGCAGAATAACAGTGTGAGGTATCAAGCAGGTGTTGGTCCTGTTGTTCCTCAGGATTGCACTCACTGTGGAAAGAAATATAACATGGGTGGACCGATTTGGTCCGCTCCAATGCACGATCAAGAATGGGTGACTTCGATACTAAATGGTGTTAAATCCATGAGAGACAGATATCCTGCTTACGAAAAAATCTGTGCTGTTCTTACCACCATCTCAGAGGCAAAAACTCTCCTTCAAACTTTGAAAGTTTCAGTTTTTTTAGCTTTGGGTCAATTTCTCTAAACCTCTGTTTGTTTGCCTTGTCTCCAGGAACTGCCAGATGTTCCGCTCTTTGTGAGCCTTCATAGTCTCTCTGCAACGCTAAAATGTACTTCACCGTCAGCTGCTTTGTTCCGATCAGCAGTAATCAACGCAAAGTACCGTGTCTCGGGGTCCCATGTGAATCCGCTCGGGATTAAGACTGATGCTCCTATGGAGATTATCTGGGACATCATGCGTTGCTGGGTAAACCTTCTCCACAACTAAGCCTAAAGGCATAAGCTTTTAGCTGTCTTCTTCTCTTGGTGATATTGAATGAACTATTTTGGTTGTAGGTGAAAAATCATCCCGTGAAAGCTCAATCACCTGAACATCCCGGAAGTGTGATTCTGTCTAAAGAACCATCTCATCAGGTCACTCTTTCGCCTGCCAATGTTCTAATGTTTCATTCGTTGTTTTGATTTGGTGGAAGCTGAACAAAGTTCCAAGCTTGAATCTCGAAACACTTTTTTTTTTCTCTCGGACAGGCTGACTTTGCGCGCCACGTTGGTTCACTTAGCAAAGCACAGGTGAAGAAAATAGCCCGGTTTCTGCCAAACCCGGAGAAGCATTGGGGTCCAAAGATAAGGGCTGGTCGTCAAATCACAAGCAAACACGTCTCGCTTATTGGTCATGATGCAGTTAACGGTCATCTCAGTTGCCAAAAGGAAGCAGCAGCAGAAGAAGAAGAACAGCAAGAAGATATCATTGAGGGTGAGCCAGACCTGAAACGCCAGAAGAAAACAGAGAATATTGCCTCAACATCATAGAGGGCTAATGTTTGTTTACACAAGAATTTTGGATTTTTGTTTGCCAAAGATTTGTGCCCTTTTTATTGACATTACGTCATCAAAGTTCTGCGTTTTTGATCCAAACACAGAAAACTTTTTAGTTTCTACTCTCTTTGTATTGGCACTCTTTATTAGTTTTATACTATTTTTTAAGTATCAAATCAGCGGCAAACAGAAAATCTCGTAATTGACAAAAAAAAAAAAAAACACACAATCTCTTAGCGGCATTCTTTAGGATAACTAAGAAGCATATACTGAATCTTCTTTTTTACAGACCTGCAACAAATAATAAGAGGAAGATAAGCTTGTCAAGAAAGTGTAACGTAAAGTATACGATATTAAATGAAAAGTAGTGTAACCACCAGCAAGTCGTTGTAGTATAGTGGTAAGTATTCCCGCCTGTCACGCGGGTGACCCGGGTTCGATCCCCGGCAACGGCGTTAATCTTTTTTGTTTTCCATAAGGGTAATTTCTTTTCTTTTGGGTTAACTACGTGGCCCAATCTTGGCCCATGAGTGTAAGTAGATAAATACACCGTCCTAATATTTTTATAGATACGAATCTTTTTTATTCTCCTTGGCACATTTTATTTTCCTTAATTTTTGCTTCTCATTCTAGCTCAGAAGAAATTCAGCAATGGCGAAACTTTTCGGTTGTGCAATTAACGTTGAGGCAGAGGAAGAAGGAGGTGGTGGTAGCTCAATCCCCAGGGAGGTTCCTCGATCTGGTATCCAACCGGACGGCGAAGCTATGGGTTTTCCCGTTTGTTTTCCTCCGGTCAGTCAGAGGGAAATCAATCCATATTTCCGTTTCTTAGAGTCGAATTCAGATGCTGGATCGGCTTCTATGGATTCGGAATCCGATCTGCAGAATTGTTTCATCGATTTCTTTGATCGAGAGTCGTACGAGATGGAGACGGTAGGTGAGTTTTACATGAGCCCGAATCAGAGGCTAAGTAGTTCCGATGATTTCAATTTCTGGGGACTTGACGACCCGGAGGAGGAGATAGAATTAGGGCTCGGAATCGGGTTTGGGTCCGGGTCAGGGTCAGGGTCGGGTGAGATACGCGGTGATTCAGGTTGGATAGGGCTTACCGGGGATAGGGAAATTGATGCGGGTCAGGTCGAAGTTGGTACGGGTCTTACTCCTGTTGAGGATGATCTATTTGGCGAGGAATCTGGTACGGATCTATCTCCTGTTGGCGAGGAAGCAGCCATGGTGGCTGATGAAGAACTGGAATGGGAGGATTTGCAGAACGGGATAAGCTGGGTTCAGGAACCTGTCCAAGTTAGGCTTTTTAGCGTGGAAGAAGAAGAAGAAGAAGATGGTGAGGAGCTGTCTTTGGCATCCAGGGATGGTGATCGAGAATGGGAGGTTTTGTTACCCGTTATCAATGTTGGTTTCTTTGAAGAAACTGAAGATATCATAGCAGCCTCTGATCTAATGGATCTGGAATACGGCGTTTTTCTAGATGGTTTATATGAATATGGAGAAAATGATGGAGATTACGATGATGTGTTGGCACGAACGTTCGATGACGAAGTAACGGGAAGTCCTCCGGCGTCGAAAAGAGTGGTGGATGAGCTTCCGGTAGTGGAAGTGAGCAGCGGGAACATGGCTTGCGCAATCTGCAAAGATGAGATAGTGGCGGAGGAGAAAGTGAAGAGGCTGCCTTGTAGGCATTACTATCATGGAGAGTGCATAATACCTTGGTTAGGGATCAGGAACACATGCCCGGTTTGTCGGTATGAGCTGCCTACTGATGATCTTGAGTATGAAAGTCGTAGGAGATCACAAAGGCTTGCGGCAAGGAGGGACCTGATGTCCGAGTAGCTGAAGTGGTTTTGCTTCATCTTTGGATCTGTTCCTGATTGATATGATGATGTACATATTGGTTTTATTAGACAGATAAAAAGAAAAGAAGAAAGTACTTTTGCAGCTATATCTTTGTGCCAAAGCTCTCATCTTTTAGAATTGTGCAAGTTATTCAGGTTCATTCCTCTTGTAGACTTTTGTTGAGAATTGCAGCCACATTGTGCAATGTGATTTGATGCTTGTTCAAGAGTAATTTTTTAAGGTTTGTCGATCGAGATAATACAGGTACCACTGGAGGATTTGATTGTGAACAGTGAAAACGAAAGTGCGTAGCATGTGTGGGGATGGGGTAATCTCATCCATCTATCTTAGACGTGAGATGTGAAATACGGATACCAGGTCCGGTCCGGTCCGGTCCGGTCCGGTCGTGTGACTCTGTGGCCAGCTTGTGGTTAACCAATCAAAGTACAAAATCAAAAATGATGGATTTGGTCCGGTTTAACGCTGTCTTATATGGACCGGATCTAATTCAACATGCGGGCTTAGAGTCCACTACAGAATCTATATTCACTAAAAAGCTACACACACTAAAGAATTCATATGTTTGTCCGTTTTGAGTTGTAACAAGACTTAAACAGCGGTAAATATCGGAATATATATGTTTACAAGTTAAAACATATTCAAAACAAATTATGTAAACATGTAATCTAAGTACCCACACGGCCATACTTATGCTGTTTATACACAACCTTTTTCTGTAGAATATGATGAATACGGTTTGATTAATTAAGGCCGGGTATGAAATGTCTCGAAATGAACGTTTATTAACGATAAGCATTTTTTATTTATTTTCTAAAATTTTCCATGTTTCTTTCAATTAACTACTTCAATATGAACCACCCACACTATGAATACGATTGTAAAAAAAAAAAAAAACACTAAAGCTAATAGTCATTTTCACATGGGAGTGGCTGGCTCCTTTCTCTATAGTGACTCTACATATCTAAAGAGCCAAACTTAAAACATTGAGTGTCTGAATTTGTTTTTCAATTCTTTTTAACGATCATGGACAATCTTTTTTCTGGCTCTTGGATACCCAATTGGCTCAACACTATTTGCTATCCTCATATGCAATTATTATATGTCGCTTGTCTCATTCCATGTAACATATACTCCACACAAATTCAATTTTTAAAATAAAATATAAGCTCTTACCATTTCCATACAATTGTTTACATCTTTTCTTTGGAATGTGAAATTACTAGTGTACGAAAAGATATATAAAAAGTTACAATAAAGAAGAACAATACCATCGCCAGTATCTGAATTAGGTAGAACGGCTTCTTGAAATTTGGGTTACCATAGTTCGCTAGATATAACTTTGGCAGCGACGAATTCATCAACCCGAATGTTGTCGCAACTCACTCTATTTATAATATGACAAACACTTTGATGCTCCGTTGGTAAATTTTCAATGTTTCACTCTATCTACATGCAAATAAATTATAACAAGCTATTCACTTATGAAATTCGATCCATCAATTTTTTTTCTTATAGGAAATGTTCATCTTATGATTAATCAGATACAATCTGACATATTGTTTTTATTATAAAACACTCATTTTATATATCTCGAACACGCAAACACATATATCTTTAAGAGATTAAATCAAATATAAATTCATCACACCATTTGAAATGTTTCATTTGATAATTATTACATCAATCATTTGGAGATTGAAATTTGAGCTCAAGTTTTCCGTGACGTCTCCCACTTTGTCTTCTTGTCTCTTAGGATTCTCTCTCTCTCTCTTCTACTTAAGGGACATTAAGCTTTCCAGACCAAAATGCACATCAACTACTCTCAAGCTTTAACCAGACAAGATTATAATAGTAAGAAATATACCGTAAATCAAAATTCAGATTTCAGAATACCCACACGAAATTTTTTAACATTTAAATGTGAATGCTAGACTGGAATACAATGTTATCAATTTGTATCCACGATTACTATAAGAATACGAATCAATAATGTAAACAGCATTTTTATAAAAAAAAAAAAAATAATGTAAACAGCAACGACACTAATTTCAAGCAACAATCATATGAATGTTCCAACAGTCAAGAATACAACCTATAGTTAGACTGAAACTCCTACTAATTAATTAACACAACAATAATTCATAAATCTTTTAATGGCTTGACACATCAGCATTTTCAAGCTTTTAGGAGATAACACTTCAGCAAAAAAAACATAAATAAAAATATTTCATTAATACAGGTCATCAATATATTTAACTTTTAAATTTAAACCCATTAAAACCCAAATATTTTTTATTGTTAATTTTAATTTTATTTTTTGGTCAAGCCAAGCCCAAATAATAAATAACAGCAAATAAAAAAAATTGTTTTATTTTTTTGCCAAACCCAAATAATAAATAACAACAAATAATAAAATTAATTATTTGTTTTATATTTTTGCCAAACCGAAACTCAAATAATAAATAACAGCAAAAAAAAATTAAAATTTCTACCTATGTGTTTGCTTAATAGATATGTATATGATTGAAGAAATTGTAGACTCACATAACAACAGTGCAAAAAAACGTTATGTTATAAGAAGCTCACACATCAGCAAAAATTTGAACCAATAAAAACATAACAATAATACATATTATTAACACACTAATAAAATCAATTTACTATTTTGCTGACCCATTAAAAAGTTCAAAGTTTACAAAAAAATGGAAGGCGAAAGCAAATGAGGAGAAACTCAGACCATCACATCTTGGAGATTCGCATTTCCACTGGTTACCGAGAACAAATTTTCTTGGGTTTGGCGGAAATAGAGAATTTCTTGGTTTTGGTAGAAAAATGTGATTTTCAGTTTTGGTAGGAAAACATAGTTTCTCGGTTATGGCAGAAAAAAGCGAATTCTCGGGTTCGGCGGAAAAATGTGAATTTTTGGTTTTTGTGAGAAATAAAAATTTTTGATTTTGACGAGAACATGCAAGGGAAATGCAACTTTTCAATTTTGACGAAAAATACGATTTCTCGGTTTTGATAGAAAATGCAATTTTTTGGCTTTTGATGGATAATGTAATTTCTTGATTTTTACAAAAAATTGTAATTTGACAATTTTGGCAGAAAATGCAATTTTTCGGGTTGATAGAAAAGCAAAATTTCTCGATTTTGGCGGGAATAAACAATTTCTTGGTTTTGATGAGAAATGCAAATTTTTAGTTTTTGACATATAATTTGATTTTTTGGTTTTCGAGGGAAAATATAATTTCTTAGTTTTTGCGGGAAACGCAATTTCTCATGAGATAATGCAATTTTTGGTTTTCGCAGAAAATTGTAATTTATCGGTTTTGGTAGGAAGACGTGATTCTTGATTTGACGAGAAAAATATTTTTTTTTTGTTTTGGTGGGAATAGACGATTTTTGCAGAAAAAATATCTTTTTGATTTTGACGGGAAAATACTATTTTTTTGTTTTTGCAAGAAGACGAAATTTTTTGGTTTTGGTGAAAAAACTTGATTTCTCTGTTTTGTCGAGAAAACACAGGTTCTCGCGGGAAAATGTGATTTTTTGGTTTTTGAGGGAAAATGTCTTTCTTTGTTTTGGTAGGAAAATGAAATTTCAGGTTCGAGGAGAAAATGAATTTTTTTTTGTTTTGGCGGGAATAGACGATTTCTCAGTTTTGTGGGAAAATATATTTTTTTTGTTTTGTCAGAAAATGCAATTTCTCAGTTTTTGTAAAATGATAAAATTTCTCTGTGCTAATTTTCAAAGTTACAATATGTTTATAGTAACCAAAATTGAATTATTTAACTTCAACTAAATTGATATTTCAACAGTTCAAATAGAACTTTCTATTTAGTTTTAAAGTAATAGTAATGATTTTGATATGAATGTTATTGATTATAGTTTGGAAGTTTTAGAAACATATGTCTATAATAAATATTTGATAAACAAATAAATTTTATAGTTTAATAATCATATTAATTAATATTTTTTTAAATGACAATTTACTTTATATAATTTCAAAACAGGATCAAGTAGTAATTTAGTAGAGAAAATAAATGACATTTGTCATTAGCATGAATATACTTAAAAATGTATTGTTTTATTCTTACATATACATTTATTGATAGTTAGCTAAACAAATTTGATAGGAGATTATAATTTTAAAAAATTAAAAAAATAATGATATATAATGTTTATTCAGATTTAAAACATATAAATACATAACTTAAGCTAATAAAAAATAAATATAATACTCATTTATATTATAGAAATAATTTTATTATATTAAAAATATATACAAATCTAGAAAAAATATCCCGCAGCGTAGCGCAGATAAATACCTAGTACATGTAACAGCAAAACAAAAGCTTCTATGTAGCGAAGAACACAACTTAGACTAAAATCCAAACTGTTTATAGTTAACCACAGTGTAACATATACAGTCGGAAATGATTTATATCATCATCACTAATATATCAATAGAGACGCGTATACGCATTGCCATTGTGCATGCATGTATCAGCATCATTTATATATAAGTATAATGTTTATATGGACTGCATGTATCCATGCACTTGATCATCGCATATATACCAAGTTTTTGTAATTGTTTAAGGTATTTAAATGTACATGGAGGAGTTGTTATCTTAGACTGACTTCATACTCAAATAATTATTCATCTGGCTGTGATACAAAAACCTATAAGCACCATAATAACTTAAAAGACTAAAAATATCTCAAAACCTAAAAAGAAAAGTTTTAACCAAAAAAACTAAAAAGAAAACTACGGACAGTATAATGAGGCAATTACAAGTTGGTCATTTGAAAATATTAAACTTTTTTCTGGTCATGGTAAAATTAATAGCACAATCATAACTTTTATGATCATTGACTAACGAGCGACGATATATAGTTATATAAATTGGCAGCGATAGTGGAGCAAACCCTTAATAATAAAATTTACAAGTACCTCAGCCCATTATTTTGGC